GATTCACAAACACACATCAGTTCTCTCTATCAGGATTCTCTTCCATAGAATTTTCAGTCTTTTCCATACAGTACCATGTGTAATGGGCCTTAAAGGTCCCTTTGACACCTTGATCTAGAGCAGTGGTTCTTAACGTGGGCGATAATGCCCCCCAGGGGGCGATTTCATTTTTCAAGGGGGCGGTAGAACGAAAAGGGGCGGTGTGGGGGCGGCGGAACAGAAGGGGGCAGTAGGGGGGCGCTGGAGCAAGCTAAACCTGTGAAGATGGCTGCAGCCTTTTTTACAGTGTGCATGAATATATATTTTCCTCCAATTTTAATTTAGTTTCAGACTTTTTGTCTTGAAATTTTTAGTTCCTGCATTTGTTTTTATGCCCTTTTTATATTTCTTTTTGCGTCTTAAATTCACTTGCAACTAAATCATTAAATGCTACTTTTTGGGGGGCATTTCATTTTCTTGGAATTGAATTTTGTTTTCAGGGGTCATTGGATTTAAGTGTCTTAAATAAACAAACAAACAAACAAACAAACAAACAAATAAATAAGATATCATCACCGCGGGGAGGGGGGCGATGATAACTTCCTCAATGGCTCAAGGGGGCGTTTCTTTCAAAAAGGTTAAGAACCACTGATCTAGAGGTTGAATTAACAATGTTTTGGGGTCACGTAAATGATGCCTTCAGTGTTGAACTCATGGGGCTCTGTGTGGCCAGAGCACAGTTTTTATTGAATGTGAATATTTGTTTGTTTTTCACTCTTCCTCCAAGGAGCACCAGGTAATGAGTCCACTCTCATTGTTATCCTCATAACAATCTTATGATGTTGGATAGCGATAGAAACTATTCGTAGTTAAACATCCTGTTGTTTAATATAGTAAATTAGGCAAGAGTATGCCAAAGTAAGTCACAGTTAGAGTAGGCCTATTTGATTCAATGGAATTTATGGAAGAGGTGACTCACCAAATCCTCATTTATTCAATGGGCCTACTCTACTGCAACTTACTACAACAGGATTTTGGCCGTAAAATGGCTGGAGACTTGAACCCCAATTTCCATTACTTGGGCCAAATGCTCTGAATACTACACGATATAACTCTCAGGGTTGAGAGAGAATAAGAGCTGGCTACAGACAAACCAGTCTCATGGATTGTTGATGTCTTTTCATTTCTAAAGTGGGATCATATAATTACCTGTTTCTTCCACTGCATAGCAAGACTGCTCATCATGTCTCAAAGACCTACGTTAAAAATGTGATCTCTGTACTCTAAGTTGCCTAGAGCTTGAAACATTGCTTTCTCAAAGGAAGGTGTTTCACATTGGGATTGGACTACAAGAAACAGCATGCCCTGTCTTCTCCCTACACTAGTATTTATTTTATGCCAAAAAAAATGCTTAAAAGAAATAGTGGGGAATCCATAAACACATGCCACCATTCTGAGAAGAACACTTCTGCTCTTTCTTTAAAATGCCACACCCCAAAAGAGCTTTAGAAGCTCTTTTGGGGTGTGGTTGAGAAGCAAAACATGGGCCTTATGCTATATAGAGGATGCCTTACCAAGACTTCACGTCCGGTTGGGACACAGTACAGTGCAAAGGAGAACCCTCCCCTCATAATTTTTAAAAGAGGGTAGTACTTCAAAAGGCTCGGACTAGATGTTGAGATAGTTTTCCTGTCACAGTGAGATTTTCTTACACAGATCACGCTTATAAATTAAGACCATGTTTACCTTCCAATTACTAACCACAAAACTCAGAACACTAAATTCAAGATATATAGATTAGGAAAAGGATGTTGTGACGTTCCACCCAGTGTTCCCAATTTGTTTCCCCCAAACCAAGGTTCACTCTCTGGATACGTTTTGTCTTTCTTCCACTGTCACCATGGTGATATCTCTCACCCACACTGCACCATATATGCATCAGACACGTGCTGCCAATATAACTTGTTTATTTATCTTTTGGTACTTAAATCACAGAGTTAGGAAAAGGATGTTGTGACGTTCTACCCAGTGTTCCCAATTTGTTTCCCCCAAACCAAGGTTCACTCTCTGGATACGTTTTGTCTTTCTTCCACTGTCACCATGGTGATATCTCTCACCCACACTGCACCATATATGCATCAGACACGTGCTGCCAATATAACTTGTTTATTTATCTTTTGGTACTTAAATCACAGATGTTCTTTTATCATTGTGTATGATCACTCATTAAAACTTCTTGTACAGTGGTGGCTCGCTTGACGACGATAATCTGTTCCATTCAAATTGCTGTTAAGTGAAATCGTTGTCAAGTGAAATTAAAAAACGCATTGAAACGCACTGAAAACCATTCAATGTGTTCCAATGGGCGAAATACCTCATTGTGCAGCGAAGATCCTCCATAGGGCTGCCATTTTCCGGTGCCTGTTAAGCGAGGAATCTGTCCTAAAAACAGCGGGGAGCTATTTTGCACAGCGGGTGGCCATTTTGCGACCTGCCAATCAGCTGTTTGGAAATCATCGTAATGCAAAGAATCGGTTCCCGAAGGAGGGAACTGAACGTTGTGAAGCAAATTTTCCCCATAGGAACATCGTTTTGCGATCGCAATAGCGATTGCAAAAAACCCATCGTAAAGCGGATTTGTTGTTTAACGAGGTAATTGTTAAGCGAGGTACACATTTGATTACATATTTGTTTATTCAGGTGTTGTATTTACTTATTCACATTAACCAACTCATTAATACTCTCTGACTATCTCTTTATATTGACTATTAATTTATCTCCTTCACAACTCTCCTTCTCATTCTCTCTCCACTCTCCAACTCTTCTATTCTCCTCTCTAACTCTCCATCCGCTCCATATTATTTTTCTCTCTCTCTGCCTAAATGTCTAATTTACTCCACCACTCCTGTCTTCTCATAGGCTCCTGCACATGAGCTTCAGCTATGATAGACAGGGGTGATGTGGGCATTCTGCCACAGATGTTATGACACAGAAACATTTTTCATCCTTGGTTGAAGCACCTAGCACCACCATCATGAGTCTATGATTAAATATATAATCTAATTTGACCCTAATTTGGCATAAGAAGATTCTGCCTGTTTTCCTGAAGGCTTGAGAGGTCTGACTCTAGTAACTCTGAAAAGGTTAAAGAAATTACCTCTGAGAAATGAGCCACCTCTTAACATTTGGAGGTTCTGCAACAGGTCCATTTATTTCAGTTTCTTGCCTTCTCTCTTTTTCAAACCCCAGCTCTTCAGTCAGGCTCAGTCCAAATGAACAGAAGGGGCATATAAAAACACAACAGCTAAATAATACAAGGAAAATGGGGCAAGTTACTAAACAAAAAGCAAGTAGGTCAACATGACTGAACCCTGTCCTTGAAATTTTAAGGAAAAAGCTATTTCTGGAAAGAAGAATTGAGCAACAGCATAAAGTTAAGGAGTGCTTAAATTTCTCACCTGCTAATGAATTTTTAAAAAATAATCCTAATCATATGTGTGTACATATAATATAAACACTGCTAATTATAAACACTGCTATTTTTGGTTCCATATATTTCAATACACCACCATCTATGTGTTATAAAGAGTATCAGTTGTCAAAGACACTCCTTTGAATGTAATGTATTTAACTGTTAATTAATTAGCTTGTATACTTGGACATTTGCATTTCCAAATTGGTAGAAATTAACATGAGAAGCACAATATGCACTAAACCTGTGAAACTCTCACAGCTACCTTGATTTGTTTGGCAAAAGTCTGTGACCTTTTTTTTGTTCCAGTGCAGCATATTTCCAGTAAATAGTCTGCTCACTGGTCTGTTTCACTCTAATATTTCCACCAGTTAGTTGTTTTGTTCTTCTAAGAGATAACTAGCAGCTAGTTCTAGTCTTTCTCTCTACAGCAATCTGTTTCATCTCTCAAACATGCAAATTTTACATGTATTCTGAATTTTACATGTATTCTTCGAATCCTAGATGGACCACTATTCATCACACCACATTCTCTGTCACTGTAAAATGCCTTAGAAACATTTTATTCATATATGGACTAAAACTAGGCCGGGTACTGCAATTGACATTTCAGGGCCCTTGCCAGTTGTGGCTGGTCCATTAAGAGAAAAGGGATGTTTCCACATCGAGGGCTCAGACCACCCGTCGCCTGCCCAGCCTTGCCTGCCTCCTTAGCAGAGGCAGAGGGCCAGAATCCTACCAGAGTTCATTCCCAAGCTCTTTGTAAAGAGAGGGAGAACATGGAAACAAAAGGTAGAAACATTTCTAATTTAGTTTATATTTTTTGCCCCTGCTCTAAATTTTAAAGTGAATCAATGCAGTAGGGAGGAGACATTGTCTGAACAATTGCCTGTTTTAGCAGATAATTTTAATCTTTTCCATGTTTTGATGTTTTAATCTTTTAATTTAATTTTAAATCATATATTGTTTAATCTGTCTTTTAGTATTTAACTTTTTGTGTTTTTAATTGTGTGAATTTTAATGTTGTGAGCCGCTTTGGATCCCTTGTTAGGAGAAATGCATCATCATCATCATCAGTGCACGCCTGCTTCTCTCTCAATTTATGTGAATACTCAGCATTGCCCCAGCTCTGTCATGCCAGGCACTGCTCACCATTGGTCATCTGTTGCTCCAGTTGTTTGCTATTGCCCATAATGCAGCAGGAGGTCCACTGACTCCATACACCCCCAGCCTAGATTACCTGTCTTGCTGTCACTGCTGTATCACCTGACCTTTCAAAACAAACAAGCATCCAGAGGAGTAAAGAGAATCAGCAGCACCTCTCTTTCTATTTGAGCCCAGAGGAAGAAGTCAAATGAAAAGGCACTGATAATAGTGAGAAGGAGGAAGTGATGGATCCACTTAACACGAGATCTTAAAAATACTATCTTGCCCAATTCCAGTCCCTATCCTAGAACTGGCAGTTTTAAATATGTTTTGAATAAAAGTGATTCCAGCCCTGTGGTCTTGGTCTTCCCTTGTGACTAGATTTCTTCTCCCTTCTTTACAGGACACAATGGAATTTCTGTTCCTTCTCTTTATGCTTGTGGTGATGCCTTCTTCCACACCAGCAGTAAGTACTGAAATGTTCTTGTATGTGGCTGTTTTTAGAACCAGAACAGGATAAAGAAACACAGGCATTATCCTCCATTAATTTGTAAAATCTACAAATTAATGGAGGATAAGGCTATTAATGACTACCAGTCATGATAACCATCCAGAAACTGACCATAAGTAGTAATCACTAGATGAACTATGTTCCAAAGATATTGATGGAATTGGCTGAAAGATACCAGAACCACTGCCTTTGTTTTCTTGAAATCATGGAGGGTGGATGAATTGCCAGATGACCAAAGGAGGGTTAACATTGTCCCTGTCTTCAAAAAGGGCAAAAAAGGAGGAAACGTGGAACTACAGACCAATCAGTCTGACAACCTCAGGGAAAATTCTGGAGCAGATTATAAAATGGTCACTCTGCAAGCACCATCAAAACAATGCAGTAATAACTAGAAAGCAAGGTAGCTGGAGGCATTCAAGAGAAAATTGGACAACCATCTGTCAGATCTGCTTTTATTTGGATTCTTGCATTGAGCAGGGGTTGAACTTGGATCGCCTTATAGGCCCCTTCCAACTCAATTGTTCCCTGATTATTTACTTCTGCTTTCAAAGCACTGACTTTTCCATAGCTGACATCTGAATATTAATAATACTGCTATTTAATGTAGTCTCTATATTCCTGAAATATCCTGTGTTTTCATATTCTGCTGTCACTATTTTGTTTACCTTCCTTTGTCCATGAGGTTCCTGTTTTGTACAAGTACATTTCCTTGATAACACGTAGGGTTATTGTATATGTTAGAAATACTTATTCACCTTCAAAGCTTTTTGCAAACAAGCTATCTCACTGAGGCAAAGAATCAGTCATTTTGGAAATGATATATTTCTTCATTGACTGAGTGCTTTGAGGACTTATCACTAATTCATGGTAGTGAGTGTGATCCGCATTTGTGTATCATGAGGTAAGATCTGGATGATACAGTTTCCCTGATCATAAAATCTCTTCATGGGTTTTCAGTTTTGTTTGTTTTTGTAAACTAGTAAGTCTCTTGCTGACCCACAACATGGTCTGAAAGAAGATGATACAGTAATTTTGGCAAAGCTAAGTAGTGTGTTCTGACAGCCAAACTATAGCTTATAGCAGTAAGATTTTACACCTCCTTGTAGTTTACAAATTAGCTTTGACTTTTGACTAGTTCGCTGATTATTTGCTTAGTCATGAAGGAGTAATTGAACTCCTGGATTTTTTATTTCTAATGAGGACTACCTATAATGTATAACATGATTCTAAATCTAGCCATTGTCTTGATTGGAGATCTCCTGAGAATCCCATATTTCCCTCATAAAATATAGTTTAGTATGTTAAGTCCTAGTGCCTTTATAATAAGCCTATCTCTTCATCGAAGACAGCTGATGATCCCAAACACCAGTTTTCTTAGAGGCCAAGGGCCAACAACTCATATAGTTTTCTTAGAGGCCAAGGGCCAACAACTTCTGAAGATGCAGGACTTACACATACCTCAGTTAGACATTAGAAGGCATCAACTTCCCATAACCAATCCCTCTGATTGATTTGATCAATTTCTTTTTTGTTTTTGTTTTTTCTTTTTTTACACAAGAAGACCCCTTCATTCTCTGGGAGTATGGAAAGCAATTTTGCTAGCCTCCCCCACCCCTGGCCTGTTTTAGGCCTGGGGGATATGCTTTGCAAACCCAGAAGTAACCGGAGGTCACTTCACTCTGGAAATACGAAAAGGGATTTGTTTCAGAGGATGCTGGGGGCCACTGGCTCGTGATTTCCCTATTTTCGATATAGGTTAGCAGATAAGGCTATGAAATTATTACCTACAGTACTATATTAGAGGCAGAATGCCTCTGAACAGAGTCACTCGGGAACACAGGGAAGAACATGGCATTGCCCTCGTGTCTTGCTAGCTGACTTCCTATATGCCTCTGGTTGACCACTGTGTGAACAGAGAGTGGAATTACCAGGCCTTTGGTCCAGTCCATGGCTTTTCTTCTTGTTCTTCTTGTTGCTTCCAGCCTTCATCCCAAGGATGTTATGCTCTTTATATTACAAAAGCAAGGGCAATGATTTAATTCATACTAAGAGCATGATGTTATTTATCTTCACATCATAAGTACTTCATCTGTCTTGCTGGCGTTCTGGTGGGTTGCTCTTCATATTACAAAAGCAAGGGCAAGGATTTAATTCATACAAAGAACATGATGTTATTTATCTTCACATCATAAGTACTTCATCTGTCTTGGCCTTTATTGGTAGGTGAAATGCAATTAAATTAGTCCTCAAAGTAAATGTCCTTAGAATTAAGGGTAGAAAGGAACCAAACCTAAGGTAACTGTCATGCATCAACATTGACACATTTTCCCTTCCATTTTTCTCCATGGATCTCTTAACAATATTTCATAGTCCATTATCTCTCATAATCTTTTTTGCCAGCGACACAATTTGTACTAGAACAAAAGTGTCCCTAGTAATTGGATTACTTGATTTGTTAAGCCACAGTGATATTAATTGTAATAGTGTTGTTACTTTTTCTGAGAAGGATCTACCAAGGTTATTGTATGCAGTTACTGGTTAGAATCCAGTTAACCTCTCCTTCTTGGCAAGACTCGTGAGGTCATTTCCTAATAAACGTTGCTCCAATATAGTCGGATGGGGGCAGAGGGTCAAAAGCACCATCCAAAACTCTAGAAATTATTGGGACTAAATAGGTGTCTTTGCATCGACTTTTAAGATAGATTGAATAGGGTGAGCAAGGAAGAAAACTGTCATTACAAATCTGTTAATTCAGCAGCTTCTTGGTAATTTCTTCTTATCCTCGAAGGGCAAACAGGATTTACAGTCTTCACATACATGCTGTGATAGTAGAATAAAAACCTCCACGCTGTAATTTTCAGGGCTGGTCATATCATAAAACTCCCATCGCTTCACGAGACAAACACCAAAAAAGGCTGCCATGTTTTCCTTGTTCATCAATAAAAACAAATAAGGCATCTTGTCCTTGTATGTGCGCATTTAACATTTTATCTCTTTGCTTCTGCTGTGAAAATGCTAAAAGACCAGTACTAACTAGTTTAAATTAACGTTAATTAAACAAAGAATAGGATATTTTTTTGTTCTTGTTTGTTTTTAACCTTGCCAGAACTGGCCTCTGAAACCACATTTTCTCTTGGCACTATATTGCTATATCCACTAAACAGAGCAAGGCAGAGAGTCACTTGTGATACTTCAGCAGCCAGATCAAATTTTTTTAAACCAAGCATCCTGCTCAAATACATGAATTCTGCCAGATGCAAAAGAGCCCAGTGAGGACTGTGTATGTTCAGTTGACACAGAACATGGGGTGTGTTTTAGAGGAAGAACATATGAAGAAATGGAATAAAATATCCTGGAAAAAGAACATGACTGGCTGGCTGGAAGCAAGGGCAGGAGCAGTCCACACTGCAAAATTTTGCTACAGCACCCACACTTTCATTATAAATTCCAGTTGGCTTGGAAGTGGAATCCATAATGCTCTTAGTAATGCTGATATATTATCATTCTCTGTCAATATTTTCAGTCATTGTGAAGAGAAACAGGAAAAGAAAAGTAACAATGGGCTTTTATTTATTTTTTTAACCAGTTGTGGTCAAGGTGCAGCTGGATACCAGGTTAGAAGAATCTGCTTGAGATCTTTTAACTTCTGATTTTCAGAACTGGTCCTGGTATCGCTCCATGTCTCTTGCCTTCTAAGATAAAAGCTGGTGACCATCGGAGAGTGGCCATGAATCCTATTTGTCATATTTACTCCCCAGAGAGGTTCACCCAATATTGCTATCATATTAGCACCAGACAAAGATGCATCCATTTCCACAAATATTTTAATGTAGGGATTAATTTTTAAATATGCTGTTCACATTCTATTTGTAATTTATATTCTTTATGTATAAGTTGCACTGGAAATTCAGGTTCTTCTCATTCTCCCGGATGCCATTCAACCTTTTCACCAAGTTTTCTGTCTGCAATACATCTGTGCTATAACATATCTGAAGATTAGGACTTTTTGATTCAGCAGCCCATTGTATTACTAGAATTGGGTGGCTGTTTTTTAGACAGGTCACAAACGTTGTGTATTTCTAGCCATTTCCTGTTTTGTCTTTTGCACTGGGGAGACATTTTTGGTGGTCTGTGGAACTCCTAGAGGGCCCCAGGGCAGAAATTTAACCTCTCACCAATTAAAGTGGCCAAACTGTGGGTTGTGATTTTGAGATGCACCTGAAAGAAATAAACAAAAGGAATAATCGGTCGTGTGTCTCTGCTCTAATGTCACTTTAGAGTTTCCCAAGGAGAAGGATGATTGTGAGGATACTGGGGTGGCTGTTGTCTCACCCTGGGTGCTGGGTGTGTGTGACACTAGTTAGGAAGATGCGTCTTATGTCTCTCTACCCTATTCCAATTTCCCTATATGGCTTTTAGACTCTAAAATGTTGGCCCTCTCAACAGCTACATCTCACTGAATTGTTCTCACAGGCTCCTAAAGCAAAGAGGCAATATGATTCCTGGGGAAGCTGGGGAGAATGGGGTGAATGTAGCCGGAGCTGCGGTGGGGGTGTCAGCCTACGGCACCGCCGTTGCTATTCACAAAGGTAAGGACTTTTTATTTGCCTACAGTTCCTGCCTGCCTAAATCACAATTTTACTTGACAGTCAGAACTATACTTGACTTTGGCTACCATGTGCTGTCCAAAGAGAAAAACAGCAAAGATTCTTGTGCTATTGTGATAATTAATACATATATATTTAAGATCTCAAGTTTTTATAGATCACAGTTCATTTCAAAAGTGTTTTTCCAAGTGGGCAGTCATATTTATACAAGCAGATGTAGCTAGAGGACAATCGTAAGTAGTGTGGTCAGAGAAAAATACATTACAAAAAAGTCTGTGTGGTCTAAATGCATGTAAAATCACAACATTCACAAATCAGTGTTTATTATATTTATATACTGTATTTGTTATCAATAATATAATAAAGTCATCCACACTATTATATTTCTGATCACCATATTTCCACTCTCCATGTATGAGTGTGAAAGCTGGACAGTGAAGAAAAAACTGATTCATTTGAAATGTGGTGCTGGAGGAGAGCTTTACAGGTGTCCTAGACTGCCAGAAATATGAACAAGTGGATTCTAGATTAAGTCAAGTCTGCACTATCTTTGGAAGCAAAAATGATGAAACTGAGACTGTTCTATTTTGGGCACATCATGAGAAAGCAGAGTTCACTAGAAAAGACAATAATGCTGGAAAAAGTTGAAGACAGCAGGAAAAGAGGAAGACCAAATACAAGATGGACTGATTTCCTAAAGGAACTAAGGTCTTGAGTTTGCAAGAGCTGGGCAGGGCTGTAGAGGACAAGAGATTTTAGAGATAGCTCATTCATAGGGTCACCACAAGTCAGAGGTGATTTGACATTTCATAACAACAAATACATATTAGTGACTATGACCATTTTAAACTATGCATCCTCGTCCATACCACAGTATGCAGTAAAGAAGGCATTTGTGGTTGATTGTACAAGTATCTTCACCTCACTTGCAAATGTATATAGTTTGGTGGTGGTGAAGAGACTGAGCAGCTTGCCAAACACATGTCCATGTATGAGAAAATTCCTGAATAGAATCTCACTTCTGCTACAAAATCACAAGATACCTTCAGTAACATACAATTTCAGGTTCAGTTTCCCCATTTGTGAACACAGGGTGGAAATGAGGTTATAACACTTTATAACTACTTTACATGGTTGTTTTAAGGATCATACAATTAGCTAATCTCATAAAACATTTTTACAACTTGAAAGTTCTGCATTAGGTGTGTCTAAATACAAGCTCTAAGGCTTCATCTGTACCCATTCATTCCTCTCTTACAAACTGCTCCTTTTTTTCTGGGGCAAAAAAGGAAAACCTCCAAGGACTCAATCACATATAACAAAAGAACCCCAGTAATCTCAATTCTGCTTTGGCTTAAATCATTCTATAAATTTCTGTTCACCTGACACATGGGTAAGATCAATTCATGTGGCCAGCCAATTGGATTTTCCCACCACCACTGGTTTATTTCAAAATGTACCAATCATGTATCACCTCAATTTTTATCGTTTCAGTGTGTGTGAACATTGCTGTTGATTTATTTACTTTGTACTTCATGGTCACTGTGTTTGTACCCGTCTAAAAATTTTTTTTAAAGCGATATTGATAAATGTCATGTAGCAGCAAGAGCAGCAGCCACAAAAACAACACATATACTGTACATTGCTTAGAAGGAGACAGCCTCCCCCTCCTTGTGAGTGTAAGGAAGGAAAGGGGAAAGAGGTCTTGAGCAGCGAAAGAGATGCTTCCTGCTTGGAATTGTTTGAGGGAAGAAAGAACATGGCATTAACGCCTCTCTCTCTCTTTTTAACTGTTATTCACAATACTTGGAAAATATTTTAAAATCTGCTTCCTCCTCCAGGTGCTGTTCAAAAAGGAAAAGAAAAATGAAAGCCAAGAACTGAGAGGGAGTGATATGCAGGGAAATAATGAAAAGGGATTTAGTGAATAAAGGAGGGAAAGGAAAAGGGGAGAAGGAGATAAGGAAAAGAGGGAAAGAAAAACAGAAAGTGGAGAAAGGAATTGGGAAGTGAACATTTTAATAAAGGAAGGAAGGGCTGCAGCTTACATATACCACCAGGTTGTGCATTGACTAAGTTGGAAGAGACAGAAAAATAGCAATATATAACTTATGAATTTTTTTAAAAAGAAAATTTTAGGGCATCAAGGACCCCAAGAAACAGGTTTGTGCTTCAAAAATGTGTAGATTTAATTTTCATCAGTGGATATCAATGTGACATTTGACTCAGGCTCCAGATCATAATGTCTATCTGGTCCCCTTTTTTGTGCTTTTGCTATTTTGAAAGACTTAACTGTTTAAATTTGGGGCAGCTGAACTGTTAATTGTTAATATTTATTTATTTATTTATTTATTTATTTATTTATTTATTTATTTATTTATTTATTTGTTTGTTTGTTTGTTTGTTTGTTTGTTTGTTTGTTTGATTTATACCCCACCCATCTAGACTAAAGTCTACTCTGGGCGGCTAACAATAAAAAATGGAATGAAAACAATATAATACAGTGAGGTCTCGACTTATGAACTTAATCTGTATTGGAAGGTGGTTCTTAGGTCGAAAAGTTCGTAGATCGAATCTGCATTTCCCATAGGAATGCATTGAAAACCATTTAATCTGTATCTGCTCTTTTCCGTCCATAGAAACTAATGGGAAGCTGCTATTCTGCCTTCTGCCACTAGAGGGGGATATTTTTTCTTTTTTTCCCCTTAGGTTCAGGAAACGGAGGAAGGCAGGGAACAGTTTGCAAGCCAATCCAGGGCAGCTAGAGTGGGAGAGATAAGTTGATGTTTTCTCACCCCGGTGAGAAGTCTGGCTGCCACGTTCTGCACCATTTGAAGCTTCCGCATCAACCTCAAAGGTAGCCCCATGTAGAGCACCTTACAGTTGTCTAATCTCGAGACTACAAATGCATGGACCAGAGTGGTGAGCACCCCAACATCAAGATAGGGACACAGCTAAGCGCCTAATCCAGATGGACACCAAGCTGCTCCCAAAACAGAGGGAGTTTCCCAAACCACCGATGCCAGGTCCACCCAACCTCAGGACCTCCATCTTGTCCGGGTTCAGCCTCGGTCCATTCTCCTGCATCCATTGCAGTACAGCCTCCAGGCAGAGCTGAAGGGACAAAACAGCATCCACTGATGTTGGAAAAAAGGAGATGTCGTTTGACATGATGTAAAATTAACATACAAACTACATTCAATTATTCTTTTTGTTTTATAAAAATAAAGACATTTTTAAAAGATGACTGATTCTGAACCAGAACCAGGAAAAACTGGCTGAAATCTCATTGCTTTGTATAATAAGTTGCGCAGTGAATCAATGGGAATTTGGTGAGTCAACCCCTCCACATGTTTCAATTAGAGATGGGTACAAATGAGAAAAATGGTGATTCATTTTGATTCATGCTTCATTAAGGTCAACAAATTATGTATTAGAAATTTATGATTTTTTTCCTGATGATGGTCAACAAATTATGAATTAGAAATTTATGATTTTTTTCCTGGTGAATCGACAAATTGATTTGTCAATTCATTTTTTACTTGGAAACCATATAAAATTGCCCCCAAGCACCTAGAGACACCAAAATCACAGGGAAGCTTCCCCTGACTCTCCTCTACAATCCCTCCATGTTTGAGGAAGATTGGATTTCAGACATCCATGCTAAACATTCATTGCATAAGTCCCCCCAATAAAAGTGCCCTTTAGCAGTTGACATGGGGAAACTCAATTGTCACCAAACTTGGAAGGATACTAGAGGAGAGTCAGCAGAAACTTCTGTGTGATTTTGATGATTCTAGGTGCCTGGGGGGGGGATCTTTCTCAGGGGCCCTTTTTATGAGTTTATAACATTGACATCTGAAACCCAGTCTTGACCAAACCTGAAGGGATTGTAGAGGAGTATCATGGGAAGCTTTTCTGCAGTTTTGATATCTCTAGGTGCCTGGGGGAGTGTTTATAGACAAACAAATTGACAAATCAAAAATTGCTAAACATTCATTGCATTGGGGGCATTGATTCATACAAATATGAATTAACAAATCAGCAATTTTGAATGAATTTGGTGATAAATTTTTTAATCCATGCCCATCTCTACTTCCAATGATTCAAGGGGCCTATTATGCTTAGTAACAGGGTTTCAGCCAGTGTGTTTAAAACTGCATCAACATTAAATGCATTACTTTTCTGACCCAACGCTGTGAATAGGCTCTCAAAGATCTATTTTTTAAAATAACATTTTTAAAAGTAACATAAGAGGAATAAAGTTTAGTTATATGCTTCTTTTTAGTGAGGCTTGTGTCAGTCCAGATTATCACTCCCCAAAGGAAAAAGAGTCTGCAATTCCATTTAAACATGCATTTATATTAGGTAGCCCAAGCTTGGCCTTTGGACTATAATATCCAGAAATCTTAATTAACACTGCCAATAGCCTACGCTATTTCTCCAGCCTTCTGGGAATTATCGTCTAACATCATCAGGAGCCCCAGCATTTGGAACCATTGGCCTATAAATATGGCTAATTTCATCACACTTGAGCATAACACGATGTGCTCTTTTCCATTAGTAGCCAACTGAGGAATATTAGAAAGAAATGTATTCAAAATATAGCAATGCAGCTGTTTCTGCTTGACAGCTCACCAATACAGCCCAACAATAGGAAAAGAACCAATCCTTGGTAGCTTTTCCCCCACCCCCTCACATTCATTAGTCAATGATTTCATTTTGTGTCTCATTTCAACAGTCAGATTTGCAGGCATTGATAGAATCGACACTTTAACTAAGGCTCTGTGGGCAGAGACCTTTTGGTGAGGAGCCACGAAAAACATCCCAACTTCACCTTGCAGTGAGGCTGCTGGGTTATGACCTTGCTTTAAGAACATGATTTTTCAAACCTTAGCCTCAGGAGGTTGAAAACCCTTGTTTGTTTTTTGGTCAGTTTGTGAGGCACTGCAGTTGAATTTATCTGGGTGTGAGCAGAATAGGACTGCTACTCCCTCAATAGGATTCAATAGGCCAGCAGCCCACTGAATATATTGTAATAAGGCTTAGACTCTCTTGATGGTGTTACAGTAATCTACCATTTGCAGAATCCTAGAGAAGTACAGTGGGGTCTTGACTTGAGAACTTAATCCGTATTGGAAGGCGGTTCTCAAGTCAAAAAGTTCTCAGGTCAAATCTGCATTTCCCATAGGAATGCATTGAAAACCATTTGATCCGTATCTGCTCTTTTCCGTCCATAGAAACTAATGGGAAGCTGCTATTCCGCCTTCGACCACTAGAGGGGGATATTTTGTTTCTTTTTTTCTTAAGGCTCTGTGAGCACGGTGAGGAGCCACGAAAAACATCCCAACTTCACCTTGCAGTGAGGCTGCTGGGTTATGACCTTGCTTTAAGAACATGATTTTTCAAACCTTAGCCTCAGGAGGTTGAAAACCCTTGTTTGTTTTTTGGTCAGTTTGTGAGGCACTGCAGTTGAATTTATCTGGGTGTGAGCAGAATAGGACTGCTACTCCCTCAATAGGATTCAATAGGCCAGCAGCCCACTGAATATATTGTAATAAGGCTTAGACTCTCTTGATGGTGTTACGGTAATCTACCATTTGCAGAAGCCTAGAGAAGTAATGGAAATGGTTAACTGTTTTAACAAAGCTTTCTGAGTGTTGACCAGGCAGTCTGAAGACTGTCTCCCAATCCACTCTCTAAACGCTGGGAGGAGTGAGGAAGCAGACAGGCACCCTTTTCACTGGCCAACAGTTAACTGAAAGTTCAAATTTTGCACTTTCCCTGCCTCCCACGTGGTTTTTTTCCAGTTCTTAACTCAAATCTAAGTATGTAAGTCAAGTCAATATTTTCCTATGAGAGTGGTTCTTAAGTCAAAATGTTCTTAACTCGAGACGTTCTTAAGTCAAGACCCCACTGTAATGGAAATGGGTAACTGTTTTAACAAAGCTTTCTGAGTGTTGCAATGTCAATTTTATTCCGAAGGTTACACTATTTTCTAAAGGGAGGGATAGATATTCTTCCTTTTTGGAAGGGGGAGTGTGAGTAACAAGTGTCTTCTGCAGAATCTATCAGACTAATGTGGAATTTACTGCACATATAGTGCCAATTTAATAAATTAAATGCTTTAAACACAGATTAAATGTTCGCAACTTTAGAAATTGACATCAAGAGGTTAATGTCCCATTTCTAAAGTTTAACAATTTTTCAAACCTAATATTTCAGGCTATGGGCCGGACTCCTGATTTTAACTTCTGAGATTGAAATCCCAGTACTTTTCCATTCACAAGAATTATAGACACCACAAGGATGTTATTAGCATGGTGTAATTTTGCAAGGCTTGAGAAGGACAAAATGTTACATGTGGCAGTAGAAATGCCTGCGCCTGCTAGGGCAGGTCGAGCTGCACCCATTCGATACCACGTTCTGGATGAAACAGGTTGGTCTTGTTGTATAAACAAGGCTAGGCAGCTAATACTATTGCAATCTGTCTTGAAACTGTTTTCAAAAAAATGTTCTTGTTTTCCCTGAAGCCATGTCACAGTTTCGCCTCTTGATTGTTCAGAATTACTAGAAGTGGTGTCTTATATATAGAATGGCTATTTATAGTGCCTCCCAGATAATTTCAAAAGAAGTGTTTTCTTAGTTTTATATTTGCGTAGCTACAATCCAAAGCCAAAACCTACCACCACCACCACCACCACCATCATCAATAGCTACAATCCAAAGCCAAAACCTCCCCCCACCACCACCACCACCATCATCAAAACAGTCCATTATGATTTTGAAAAACACCAAGGGAGCCATGGTTTTTTTTTTTAAATGTTGGAGACAGTAAGAAAAGCCTCCCCTCATCACTGCTGAGGAGAACACATGGACTCTTTACATCAATCAGCCTGAACGACAACTGAGGAGTAACAGCCCCCGACTTACCTATTTGTTGTCCAGGTGGGGCTCTGGGCAAGGGCGATGTGGCAACTGCCGTTTGGGGGCTGGCTGTCTCCTTCCCAGGAGGCAGCACTGTGGCTTGGAGGATCATGGGGCAGCTGCCCCGACAACCAGTCCGATGGGTCAGGGGCAGCCATCTCCTCTCACAGATGGTCTGGACTGGAGGATTTAAATGTGGACCATCTGTGGGGTTTTAAATGGGGATATGCCCGCCTTTTGCCGCCATGAGGTTCCAGATAGTCACCCACCCACCCTCCTCTTTTTTGTTCCTTGGGCATTTTGATTGCAAGAAAAAATAGTTACTTGTGCTCTGTCACAGCTTTGTTGTGGGGGCGTAGTTAGTTTTACACAGAGTGACAGGCTATCTCTGTCTGAATCCCCAAAACCTGATTGTAACCAGCTTTAAACTCACCTTAAGAAGATACCTGGCAAATTTCTGACATGAATTCCTGGGACATTCATTTACAGTTTTTCTGGACTGTTCACAAGATACTGGCGGGTGCTTGAAGAAGTGAATTTAATTCATGAAAGCTTGCACTGATTATTTAGGTTTTTTAGTGATCTAGTAAAAGTGTTCTGCATTCTTATTATGATTTAGTTAACATAGCTCTGGAGAGATTTCCCACTGTAATCTTTTCAGTCTGGTGCCCTCAGAATGTGCTGGACTACCACTCCCATCATCCCCAGAGACCAACCATGCTCCTTCACAACTACAAAAGTGGCTACATTTCCATGCCCCCCCTGCATATGGAGCCCCTGAAGCCTTGGGAATGGCTGTATCTCTGGAGGCTTCTTATGTTGTTTTGGACTCCGATATTCTAATGGAGTGGATGGCAGGAGCCTGTAATCTTCAGAATGTCATCCTCCACTCAGTAATGGAAATTACAACAAAGGGAACTAGCGCTAGTGTGCTCCTGGTCCTTGTGTGTTCACATGATACAGATCAGGAATATCTGAATAGGATGTGAATCTACACACTGACAACAAATCCCACCAGAAGTAACTGCACCAGCCATGCACAAAATATTCTGTATGTGGACTAGGAAAGCCCAGATTTTCCACAAGGGAAGCACTGCCTGCAAGTAAAACACAGTTCTTTGGTTCAGCTACAGTAGGAAACTGCTTTATCAAACCAGGAGTTTTCTTCTGAAGCTGGCTATTTGAGAGGAAGCAATCACATCACAGCTCATTGTTTATAATAGTTTGTTGAACTGGGAATGTTATTATCCAAATGGGATTTTGTTCCCCACAAGAAAACTGATCCTTAAACCAACTGCCACTTACAGAAAACACTTCAGTGACTACCAGTGCTTTGTTAGGAAGTGAAAAACAATACTTAATATAATTCTTGCATTTATAATATTTTTACAAGCTGTTACTGACTGTTGGTCTGTCTTTCAGGACAGATGGTGGATCCAGTTGCATAGGACCAACCCGAAGCTATCGCTCATGCAATATCCAGGTAAACTTTGATGAGTTCTCTTTCTCTCCCTTGAAGAACTGAATCATTTTCAGTGGCCACATCTGGCACCCGCTCATCATCATCTTGATTTTCAGCTTTTACTGAACAACTCATTTCACCAGTAATTACCTTCACCTGGTGTATTGTCTCTGAAATTACCCATCTTCTCAGGCAAGTTTTAGCAATCATGATTGAGTCCCTGAATGCATTTTTTAAGTTAAGATAGTTTTTGGTGTTTACTTGTTTTTACTTACTCAGTTGTATTTGAACTACGTTATAATTTAATTGTTTTTAATGTTAAACTTATTTTGTATTTAATTCTATTCTTTTTAATATTTTAAGCTGCTTTGGGTCCCTTTTTCAGGGGAAGGGCTGTCTATAAACAAATCAAATAAATAACATAAATAAATGACTTAAAGACTATTTAAAAATTAACATTTGGGAATGATTCGGACATATAAACAAATTTAGTTACAGATGAAAGGTAAAAAAAGACACTGTTCTCACCTTGTCAATGCATGCTTGTAGGTGACAGGAAGGGTTCTGTTCTGTGTTAGGAGTTGTGAATATAGCTATGAATATGCATGAGTATGAAAGTTTTCAGAATTAACATTAGCAAGCATGAAATATAGAGGTGTGATCAATATTTTATTCATTTTTCTGCAGTTAACTTGCTTGTAGGATTTTATATTTTACTGAATATGTTTTGTACAACCATAGTCATTACAACTCCTGTAACCAGAGAGTAAATGTCTTCACATTTCTTCCTGAATTGTCCTGTGTAATGACAGATCGTGTGAACAATCATTTCTTCCTGGATAATATTTCTTTAACTAATTTCAACTTCTGATTTGCCTATGCATTGAGTGAACGAATGAAGGTGAAAAATGACCAAGAAACATTGGCAGAATAACTATACGTAGAGGCTATGTGTAGGTAGGGGAAGATGTAGTATTTGAACAGACCCCCCATGACTATGTGAACAAGTTTAGAAACATGTAATATAGACTCATTAAAACATATTGCATTTTCTGATGATTACCAAAAACTTAAGACCTCTCCCTTGCTATTCAAGGAGAACCAATATAGCATTTGAAAAAAACAGAGCTTGGAAATTTACGTTTCAAGTCTACAGCCTCAAATTCCCTCAGCTGGTATGACCAGTGGTTATGCTAGCTGAATGACTGTGGAGCTGCATTCCAAAAAGTAACTTTTCTAAACCCAGGAAAGAATGTGATACATGGAGTAAAATAGAAGATGTGAAGATGGATATAAGAATCAGAATCTCATTCAAGAACCCTGACAGAAAGATAATAGAGTTTTTAATAGTTTTCACAGTTTTTTAAAGGCCAAGGGTACTAGGGGACCACTGGCCCATAGTTGCCCAATGAGCTTGTGGCTGACTAGGTGTTTGAACCCAGACACCTCTCTCTAGTCCCTCAACCTGCTTATTACACTGCGCTACCTCTAGCTACCTCTACATGCTGATGATACATTAGACATTGAGCCGCCTCAGCTGTGGCCCCATCATTATGGAATAGGCTCTCCCTTGAGGATCTTCAAGCCCCATCCTTGATTACTTTCAAAAGGCTGTTAAAGACTGAATTATTCATTGAAAAGTTTTGTGACATTCTTCTCTGAGGTGACCATGCGATTCTGTTTTAACTTATTCTACTACTTTCATTAGTTGTTTTTATTAATATTTTTGACCTTATTATTTTAGTGTGGCTGTGCTTGTCTTAATCATATTGTTGGGAATTGAGAGGAGGATATATTATGTTCGTTGTTAAGCACCCTGAGTAGTGCACAGCACTAAGTCGGGAGGTATACAAATGTAAGAAAGAAAGAAAAAGAAAGAAAGCCAAAGATTTGTTGGAAATGAGCAAGCGTACAAGAAGCAGATCCTGAGCTATTTCTCATAAGCTAGGCAAACTACAGAAAACCACACTCAAAAGATTTGTTCAAAATTTGTTGCTCATCTTTTTACATGTGAGAATTTGTTTCAAATAACAGACTTCTTTGTTCTTCTTCCTAGAACTGCCCTGGGGGGACCAGAGATTTTCGGGCAGAACAATGTGCTGAATTTGATGGAATAGAATTCCAGGGAAAGCGATACAAATGGCTTCCTTATTACGGAGGTAATAGACAGTTTTACACTTACTCAATTATTCTTCCATTTAAGTGACACCACACATTTTGAGAAAAAGCAAACTGGCTTTTATCTCAATCAGATTTTGCAGGGGTTGTAGGAAAAGATTTTGCAGGATCTGTCAGCTTGGCAACACAAAAGCCATTAAGACCATGAACTGTTTGTAGGTCTTCCTCCGAAGTCAATCTCAATACCATTTGAGATTATATTTAACATCTGGCCTTGTTCACACTTCCTTGCCACTTGTCCAGCTAATTCAAATTGGTTGTGTTGACAATGCTTGTGTTGACAATGAATTCCGCTCCTGAAAAGTTCATCTCTCTACATTCCAGAGCAGACATTTCTTCACTTCCTAGTCCACAGTCATTCTGGTCTGTGGTAGTAATGATGGATGGAAGACCGATGAGGCTTTTTGAGTAGAAAGCATAAGATGTATAAGAGGGTTGAAATATCACTGTAATAATTCTTTGGTCAATTTAACAACTGTATACAGATGTTAATACTTGTGCACAGATAACACATAAGAGGCTTAATTTGGAGAATCCAAACACAGGCACACAAAACATGACAAAATATTAAAGTGTGCTGCTTATATACTGCCCCATAGCGCTTCAAGCACTCTCTGGGCAGTTTATAAGTTAATTATGCAGGCTACACATTGCTCCCCCCAGCAAGCTGGGTACTCATTTTACTGACCTCGGAAGGATAGAAGGCTGAGTCAACCTTGAGCCACTACCTGGGATTGAAGTCCAGGTTGTGAGCACAGTTTTGGCTGCTGCACTGTACCACAAGGCTCTTCAAATATTGGCTGAAATCCTGTTGCTTAGCAGGGTAAGTCACAGATGGAGTAGGTCCAGTGAATCAGTGGGGATTAGTGAGTCGACTCTTCTGTAAATCCCATTGTTTCAGTGGGCCTATTCTAGTTGCGATTGAGACTGCAAGTACATGGTCAAATACTGTGGGAATTGCTCCATTTACAAAACGGGTGAAATTGAAAGAGTTTTTACTGGTTCCATGATGCTAAGGCTGATTTGAATTGGCCCAGCTTTTTTTCTCCTAAAGTGGGTTTTTTTTTCCCTCTGCCACTGAGGGGCTTCTACTTTTTCAAACTGAAACAATTCAAATGGGCTTGTCCTCATGTGGTTTGTTGTGATACGTTTTGTAAAGACAGGGGGTGGAATGTGTCTGTAGCTAGTGTCTTGGTGGTGTTGGCAGATGGGGCATGATGTTCAAGACTGCCCCCACATTCTTTTCTCTGCCCTACTCATCCTCCAGAGCTTTTTAACCATTTATTACATATATGAGATTAGTGCTAGATCACCCTATCACATTGCTAGGCCATTATTATATCTCATATTTATGCCCCCATCAGTTCCTCATCAGACCAACAGAGGTGGGACCAGAGGAAGGAAGGAAAGGGGTGGCTGTGGAATGGAATGAGAATCACATCACAGCCAGTATGAAAGGTGAACTCCCGAATCAATCCACAGCCCCTGCATGAACACTGACTGCGATTTCAAACATAATGCAGGCTGTGAATCAAATCGCAGGAAACTTTCCAGTTTCTCACTCTTAGGGTATGATCAGATAGGAAAACAACTCACATTAATATTTTTACAGCCTTCCTAATTTTGTATCTAGCCAAACTGCTGGCCCTGGAGTCAGCAATATTCTGGGAAACATATTCAAATAAAGTAACTTTTCTAAGCTCTGCTAAATATTATATTACCATACTTTACATTCCTAGTATGGTAAAACATTTCCTTGTTAACAAATGCTGTTAAATATGAGACCATTAATAAAATCCTGTTCTTTTGGAATGTCATACTCAAATGAAATAGTACTAACATTCAGGTGCCTTTGAAGCATATGAAGTAATGCTTTGCTTTTTAACCTTGCTCATAGCACCCAATAAATGCGAACTAAATTGCATCCCAAAGGGGGAGAACTTCTACTACAGGCACAAAGCAGCTGTGGCTGATGGGACACCCTGTGAACCAGGGAAACGGGACATCTGTGTGGAGGGAGTATGTCAAGTATGTATTTCTTTCACTTTGTCTCATTCTCAAAAACAGTTTCCTATTGTTTGCTTAACTTTTCTTTTTTTAGCCTATTGGATCAGAAATTGTAAGTTATTTCCTTGGACTACGTAACTCCATGAATCCCCTAATCAGCCTGGCCTATTGTAGTTGCAGTATGAAAATGTAGCACTTCCATGTTCTGCATTTAAACCTTGCTTCCTGTCCCTCCCCTATCCCAACTCTGGAAACAGCTTACGGTAGCATAGCTGAGAGACAGTAGTTTTCCCAGCATCATCTTTTGTTAGGCAGGGATTTGAACTCAGGTCTCCATCATTTCTATTGAATATCCTATCAACTATATACTACTGGTTCTTTTCTTTGTATATATTTCCTGCAGATCTGCTTCTCTGATGTACATTACTTCTTAAGACCCAGCACATTTATTTTAATTTCTGGGTTTTGGGTGCATACTAGAGGCAGAATACAGGAGCTGCTTTTTTCTTTTTTGAAGGGCCACCGAGTGTAGTGGATATCCTTGGAGCGCCATTCATAGGAAGGGCCAAAACATTGAAACAAGAAAATGTCAGTTCTGGTGATGGCCACCAATATTATGTAATTCTCCTGGGTTTTCAACTCCCAGTGAGAATGGCCTTCGTTAGACCCAGCTTTTAATAACATCAAAGAAGGAAAACCAAGGTTTCCCTCCCTCCACCACCCACCCGTAGTTTCCTCTGGGAGTAGACAAAGGTTCTGAATTCCAAAACAATGACATCCTGTCTTGGCTTTAATTGAGCTTTCAGTTAAGTGCACTTGCAGCCATGGCCACTAGAGTGTACACAAAGACAAGAATGAAAGGAGGAATGAAGGAACACAACCCTTGTTTCTGGAGGAGCTGGGGTGGAGCAAGAAGCTGGGAATTTGATTCCCCACTATGCCTCTTGGGGGAAGAGCCAGCCTGCACGGCCTTGGACAAGCTGCAGAATCCCAAGATGCCCCAAGAAGAAGGGAATGGCAAACCATTTCTATGTACAGTATGTGATTTAGCTCTGAAAACCCTATTAGGATCACCATGAGTCTGAAGTGACTTGAAATCACATAACAACAATAAATGTGGTCAGAGCCATGTTATTTAGAAGCCTGACAAGGCTGAAGCCAAGGGGTCCTGAAGTGACTGGGGTTCATCTTTGTCTTCCCCTGAGGCGACCTTGGGCTCCAGTGAATACCCTCAAAATGGATATAGGGGAATGTACTGCAATCTAGTACCTACCATACCAGGGTGATGCTGTCAAGCTGTAGTGGGGTGAAAGATTGATGTGCCTGAAAGCCTAGGGGCCTGTCTATGGGTTAATGCAGCCCTGAATGTGGTTTGAAGGAAGGGGTTCCTGTTTGTTTGTACATTCATCTGCATTTTACCTCAGATTTTGCAAGTTTCTCTTCTTCTTTTTCCTTCCTTTTTTTTGAACCTTGAAATCCTGTGTGACCAGAGGCAACAAAAAATAATTTCCCTTGACAGATTATAGGAAGAGTCACTTCTTGGACCACAGGTGTCCTTGTCAGTGTGACCAGGATAGTGAGGTTCTGTGTGGGAAGATACGCCACTTTTCTCAAACCATTCCCTTGTTTTACAAAACTGTTGTCTGTCTCTGGTTTACCCATGAACTCTTTGTCTTTAGGACACTGCCTTATAGTGAATGAGACCTTGGTCCTTGGACCTCAGTGTTGTCGACTACAACCACCAGTAGCTTTCTAAGGTTTCAAGCGAGAAGCTAAATCTCTCTAGAGACCCCTGGTATTCCCCATGTGTTTACCATCCAAGTCTTGTCCAGATCCAACCCTCACTGCCTCCTGAAATCAGACAAGGTCCGCTGTGTCTAGAGTGACACGGGAGGGTCAATATAAGTTGTGTTAGGTGTGGAAATATCATCTGCCTTCTCTTTTGCATCCCAATTTGCCTTTGGCTTGCTCTGCTGTTTTACAGGCCGTGGGCTGTGACAACATGCTGGATTCTTCTAAAGAGGAAGACAAGTGCCTGCAGTGTGGTGGGGATGGCAGAGCTTGTTTTGAAGTGAAAGGCCTCTTTGATGTGCCCAACCTCCCTAAAGGTACAAATGGGTGGTGCTTCCCCACAGTGTTCAGTGAGATGGCAGAAGTGCTTGGACTAGGGACAAGAGAGAGATTTGACTGTGCTCTTTAAGCCACTCAAAGCCAGAGCTGATAACCAAAGCGTACGCATCACGAATGACGCTTGGTGCCACTGCCTTAGGCCATATTTTATTCATTACATGGATGGGTTGTTTTATAGGTGATATGAATTTGGATGCAGCCAATCCAGAATCAATGGAGTACTTACAGCAGGATTTATATCTTTCCCCATGTAGCTGCTATTATTCAGAGAAGTGCCTTCTGTGCACTCAGGGGTGACTTACCCTATCTTCCTTTGCTATTACCATCTGCCTTAGTAAGTTAAATTTATTGTGGCTGACTTGGCTCTCCTTCTTTAGGCTACAATCAAATCTTCATCATTCCCATGGGGGCCACAAGTATCCGCATTAGGGAAGCAACACCAACCAGGAACTTCCTGGGTATGTAAATCCGGTTTCCCTACTGTTTTGGTGCTGTTTTGTCTAAATGGGCTTAAACTTCACAGTTCCTGTGAAGGCCCAGAATATGGGGTGTATAAAGTACCAGATAGATTTTTCCCTCCCTACCCTCTGGGTTTTTCCCCTACTTGCCCTCTGCAGCCATCAAGAATGTCCGAGGAAACTATTACCTGAATGGACACTGGACGATCGAGTTTAGTCGGGCCTTGAATATTGCTAGCACCATTGTGCATTACGATCGGGGATCAGAGGGTGATCTTGCCCCTGAACTTCTGCATGCCAGGGGTCCCACTACAGAGCCATTGATTATTGAGGTGAGCACCAGGGCCCATTTACCAAGTTCTTTTACATCCCCACTCCAAGTCACACAGAAGCACTGCTCAGGATTATTCATGGAACCCTTGGGTGCTGCAGGGCCCAAATGTAGAGTACTGCTAATGAGTTGGAAGGTGGGAAAAATAATTTCTTGACCGAACATACAATAGAACAGAAGGGAATCCGGAACTGGCATGGATGTTACGCCTATTCATACACAGCTGACAAATGGTGAAGTATTCTTCTGTATTAAGATCAGTTTAAAATTATTGCTTGCTGCTTGACATGACATAAGTCACCCTCTTATCCAGAAAGAAAACAGTTAATGTTCTTCACTGAGGGAAGTGCATTTGAACGATGGCCTATGAGAGACAGGAAGGACATGAAACCGCTCCCAGAAATAAACTGGAGATGAGCTGTAGATAGGAAGGGAGTAGACTTTTGGCAAGGATCTGAGAGTCAGGCCTAGGCACGCAAATCGTAGAGAAGGCAGGATAACTTATTGGACTATGCCATTTCTGTCAAAAGAGGATGAATGCTCCAAACTCCCCAAAATTACTTTACATGCACCAAATTAGTGGATCAAGAAAAACCACACAGTAGACATTTTATCCCTTGTTACCTAGGTTTCTAGGTACATGAGAGAGTTTGTTTTTGTTGTTCTGTACAGAATCATTTGCTGTCGTATGGCGTCACAAATGGAGTCAGAAGTGATGCATTCCATGTTTTCCTTCTTATCTGCCATTGGTGTGCCCTGGGCCAAATGCCAGGAAGAGGAAGGAGGAAAATGACTGCCACTACACCCTGTGTTGCCTCTTCCCTTTTCAGCTCATCAGCCAGGAGCCCAACCAAGGAGTCCATTATGAATACTACCTTCCTCTCCAAAGGCAGAGCTTGGGATACAGATGGGGCCACAGTTCTTGGAGTGAATGCAGCACTGAGTGCGGTGGAGGTAAGAATTTGGCATGGAATGCTGGCACTTGATGGTTTAATTTGTCTAAAACATTTTAATGCTGTGGACATTTGCTTTTATTTTCCCATGCAAAAATTGTTTCAGAAGAGCTTTAGGACATGGAAGATTTGCACCTGTGTAGGAAAGTTGCTGCGCCACAGCTCATTGTATTGTGTTGCCCCACGGTTGCACTTGTCACATGTTAGCTTATGCAGCTCACCTCTGGCATGATTTTAGGACCAGTCCTTTCCTGTCTTGAATTGTGTATAAGCCACTACAACAAATTTCCTTCTGTTGGTGGATGTCCCATTAGCATGTGGTGATTTACATTTTGTTCCATAGTATTTGGTTCTTTATGAAGACTTCCCTACAGCAGGCCAAATAAATTCTGAGTCTAAATGTCTACAGAGTCCACACACCATGCATCTGGGGAAACTGTGGTTTGGGCCACAACATTTCTGCCAAATAAAATGTGTTCATCTCTAGGTTACCACTAGACTCTTTGTTGATTTTGCTGCAACAGAGGAACACAGTTATCCTTTTGCCCCATCTCCCTGTCTGCCCAATGGACTAAGCATTTTTGTTTCTATGTGGAATCATGGAATTTCACCAAAGGTGAGAAGAGTTTAAGACCTCTTCTCTTTGCAATCTTTCAACTTTTTTCTTACACCTTTTTTTTGCATACATGATCTGTTATGAGAGGGAGAGAAATGGAATAGCTGGATAATGTCTTTTGATTGGCTTTCCGATGGACATCCCATCCATCTGAAAATATCCTAACCCAAATGATCCTGCTTACAGTGCATCTATAAACACCAACTAAAAAGAACACAATACCAATATCAACACTGATGGGATGGAGATGGTGCTGATCTGGAAACCAAGTGAGATGTAACCCAATAATAGATGCTGAAACTGATCCTGTTTGGCTAAGCAGCAGCAATAGCATCCCATCTTGCATAAACAAAACACTTTTAAGAAATAACATTTGCTTTAGAACAGTGGTCTCCAACCTTGGGCCTCCAGATGTTCTTGGACTGCACCTCCCAGAAGCCTTCAACACCACCTCTGCTGGCCAGGATTTCTGGGAGTTGAAGTCCAATAACATCTGGAGGCCCAAGGTTGGGGACCACTGCTTTAGAAGAAAGATCTGCCACTGGAGACCATGGGCAAGATGATCTAGATACTATAAGCTTACTGTTTACTGTATGCAACATGAAAGCTGGACAATGAAGTGAGGCCCATGGTCTCAGTTACAGTCAGTACTAAGCCATTTATCTTATTTCAGAGTCATATATCTTTCAAGGGAACATGTCTCTTACAAAGCCTACACAGTAGTTCTTGTCCTTCCATCTAGTTTTGTTCCGTGAGTGGAATGGAGGCAGTGGAATTCTCTCTGGCTCTAGAAATATGATGTAATCTAACCTTGCTGCATTTTAGCTATTGCTATGGCTTGGTGGTATTAATCAGCCTGCATTTTTTTTCCTCCTATAGGTTATCAGTCACGTCTGGTCTTTTGTACTATTGACAATGAAGAATATCCAGATTACATGTGCAGAGATAAACCACAACCAGAAAATAATCGAACATGCAACATTCAGCCTTGCCCCCAAACAAAACGGTAAGGTTTGATTTGGCTTTTTTTTTTTTTAAACTGGTTTCTGAAATAACTTGAGATTTAAGAAGCTGCAAAGTCAGAATTCACTTGGCAGCATTTACTGCTCTTATAGAAAGTATACATGATGAGACACTGATTCCTAACGCGCGCACATATACACATACCAGGTAGTTATAAATGAGATTTCTTGGATCAGGAAAATTATTACAGATGTCTGTAGTAGCTGTGGCAGCCGATGAAACTAGAGCTTTACTTATAAGGAATACAGACCTCCTGGCTATGTGGGGGGGGGGAGAGAGGTCATGCTGACACACTGCAGTGAATACAAGGAGCAGCAACAAGTGCCTGTGTACAGAATAAATTTAAATTTCATCCAGGAAATGTTGTTATTCATCCAGGTGGGATATTTTTATTAGACCCTGGGCATTTTTGTACATACGGAATGGCTTCCTGTATACTGGGGCTGGAATTTTGTAAAGAATAAAATAAATCATGTCTCATAATATGCATAGATGTGAAAGTCACATTTCAGGACTCTGAACAGCATCTCTTAGATTCAGACCCTTGCAGAGGGAGAGCTGAGCCTTGGAACGTTTCCATACGGGAAAGTATCAGATCTAATGGCCATTTTCAGTATGCTGTGAAGGGGATTTGACTGCATTAGCAGGGGTGAATCCAGATGCCCCTTGGGGTACCATTCAGCTCTACGGTTCTATGATTAAAGGATCGCCTTGTGGCTACGCTGATAGAGACACTCTGCATAATCGTGGGCCCCAGTGCAATTCTGATTTAGAAGCCAATGCATGAAATCCTTTTCAGCACCTGTCCTTCCTGAAGGCAATGGTTGGGAATGTGCAGTTTGAATACTGGAGCTCTAGTTTAGAGTAGCAGGGGGAAGTTTCCCTCTTCATAGGCACTGCAACGGTGATCAAAATGTTGCCCCCGCCATTCAGAAAGTCTGTTTGTTGTGGACAAGAAAATAAACAGGCACAGTAAGGGTGGTGTAGAGTGTCTGGAGGGGGAAGTGGGTAGTAATGCTGAAGAAAATGAGTCAGGGACGAAAGGCCAACTGCCATTTCTGCTCCCAATTCAGAGGGTTAAAAAGCAACAACACATCAGCAATCCATTAATGCATCTCCCAGTCCCATGGAGCCTGGCCCTGAAAGGCCATTTCTACAGCTGCCCTGCAACAAGCAGACACCAGATGTCTATGTATTCATTATAGGCTTTAAAATCTCTGTTCTGTGTATAAAGGATCTCTTACCTCTATCTGCCGGGAGCATGGAGCCGCAGCAGAGCATGGAGCTTGCAAACCAAGAGGTAACCGGGAGAAAGTGATGGCTTCCGTCCTGTCCGGCTCTTCTTTCCCTTCTTTCCACTTGGGAACAGTGGCCTTCCATGTTTCCTTTTGCACTCAAATTTGTCTGCTGACAAAATCCTCCATCATGCAGAGGGTTCCAGGGTCCCGTTTCCCCACCCCCACTCATATGTTGTGCTGACCATTGCTATGGAGCATCCCTATTGCCCATTCTAGATCCCCGTAAGGCCTCTTGTGACTGCCCATTGCATAAGTAATGATCTAATTGTAGACTAGCTGTCAGTCTGCCTTTCCATATGGACTCATAAATAAGCCCTTGAAGAAGATTCTGAGGAGCGCAGCAGAGATTCCTAGGAGCATGATTTGAATGCCACTGTCTTGGGTTGTTTAGTGAGTCCTTTAAGAATTTCCTGCTGGTGATAGGCAGATCTATTGCTTAGAGGCTGTTGGCTTTTCTTGCTAAATGATGGTGGAGGGCGAGAGGTGCTTCAGGCATGGAGCTTGGGGGCAGTGCTTTTTACTTAGGATTTTTCTTTCTTTTTTGTCTGCTGGGTAGACCAGAGAGAGAAAAAGATGAAAACCTTAAGATACCACACACACACCACTGCATTCTTTCACTCCTCCTTTCTTTGAAACCACTGGTTTTGTATGTTCATATTCAGTAACTTTTCAGACATGCTTCCAAAACTGAGGGTTTACTAACACAAATGCAGAACTTGGAAAAAATATATACTTTTCTTGGCTGTCTTGCTGGCTGGTGGACCTCTGAAACTTGTACTGCAGAATAGTAATTTTACAAACTTGGTGCAAGTGACTGGATGTTATAGTTACTCCCAACACCATGCTTCTCACGATGCACAATTAATCGGTAGAATTCACTGTTGCAGAATGTGACAACAGATAGCAGTGACAACAGCTTTACAAATGGGTTTATACTAATGCTTCCCAACCTTGGGTAAACTCAGGTGTTCTTACACAGCAGTTCCCAGAAGTCTTCACCACTAGCTATGCTGGCCAGGGTTTCTGGGAATAGCAGTCCAATAGCTGTTTACCTGAGACTGAGAACCACCCATTGAGCAAATTATAATGGATGCAAGTGAAATTTATCAATGACTTTTAGCCATGGAGGACATATATAACATCCTGATTCAGATAAGGTGTAATGTTGAATACCAGCTAACAGGGAAGAATGGGAAGGTAGCTGTTTCCTTCAAGCTTGTCTTGCGGGTGTCCAGATGGTACATTTACTGTGAGATGGTGCACTGTTGGCCCTGTGGTTCAATCCAGCAGGTCGCTAAAGTGCTGTAGAACCAGAAAGGATGGAGTGCCAAAAATATATCTGTTTTTTTCTGTGGAGGTCTCACACAAAATTCAGTACAGTATAATGTGTTACATTAATAGATAAGATCAGAGCAAGAACTATATGTTAAAAAGGGTGAGAAAAGGTTGCTTTAACTTCATTCTGTGCTGCTCACAGATTTGATGGTTTATTTCATGTCACTAAATGCCATTCTTAGCAACATAAAATGAGACATGAATACATTTGCAGCAGGGCTGCAGCAGGAAGATTTCTTTTCATAATCTATGGCCAGGTTAAACTTTCAGACAGCTCTGCTAGTTCCCAGTGTTTTTTCCTTGTGCAACTGAGACAAGGGGAGATGGCTATGTTGGTCTCCTGCAAATAGAATTATTTTAAGCGAAGGACTTCCTCTGGAAAGCTAATCACAAGGGCCCTCTTATACAGCATCCCAATGAGTTTTTCCCCCCAGTTGTGCAGCTCAGTGATTTTAGACCATGGATTCAATGGTCTTACAAGCGGCATGAAGAGACATATCTAAAGACATGAAGCGCACAACTGGCGCACAACCTCCCACCTAAAGCCTTTGCATGCTTTACGTTCTTGATATATTACAGCAAAACTGTTTGGCAGCTCTGTGTTTTTTAAAAAGAAATACGCTGAACAGTTAAGGGTTTGCATTTTAAACCCAAAGCATGCACAACCATCATGATGACAAGAATGAAATGAAGTTTGTATCTGCTCCCCAAACAAATAAACAGCATTTTGTTGTAAAAAAAAGGGGGGGGGATCATTTTTTAAAATCAAAAGGAATAAAACGAACATCTGCAACTTTGCACATGCTCATCTGCCCCTCCTCCATCTTAAAGAAGAGCAGACATGGTGGTCCCAGCTTTTAATACCAGCAGAGATGCTGGTGCCAGGTCTGTTTTGTTACTGTTCCAATTATTTGCTGTTCTATGAGGGTGTAATTTCAAGGATCTCTGGACCGCAGGATTCTAGACCTCAGACTAACCCTGTCTTCATTAATGTTTCTTCCATCCAAGATTGTTGAGACTGTTCATGTTGTTTCTGTTGGACTTCATTGCTTAAATAAGCAAATAGTTCGAGAGCAGGAAAAAAACCCTATAATATTGTTAGAGGCTGGAAATCTTACTAGTATTCCAGAGATGTGACTGCAGCAAATCTTCATGACTGAGGAGCCATGTTTGCCAACAAAGCCCATGTTGGAGTCTGAAGACCAATCACAGATAAAGCAAGTTAATTTGCTATGCAAACAGGAGAATGTAACAAGCTTCTGCTGTGATAATCACACATTCTCGGCACTTAAGAAACTTCCTCTTTTAATCACTGGCTATCTATGCCATTTAATTTCAGTCTGAGACTTCTTAGTGCAAATAAAATGACTGTCCAGAATCCTGATTAAAGATCTATTTGTTCTTTATGGATATCGACACCGTAACCATGTTTGAGGGGGAAAGTTTTCCTCAAACTTTAAAAGACTAAAGGGAATGAGCATGGAATAAAAAGCATATTATTTTCAAGGATGTCAGATCTAGTTAGAGCAAACTTTGCTCGAGTCGTGTTGCTAACCACTAAACTGAAAGACAAAGTATTGGAAAATATGTGAGTAATTTATTGACCTGCCCTTTGTTCCCCTGAAATGTCTGGGCAGAATTTAGTTGAGAAGCCAAAAAGGGAGGAAGTGCTTATTTGTTTTGCCCTGGGGATATTTTTCAATTTTATAAAAATAATTACTCTCCAGCTGCCTTCTTACTGATGGAATAAAAAGAATGAGGCCTTTCAGATTTTCCTGTGAAGATCCAAAAGTTTAATATGTTAGCAGAAGTGCCTAATATCAAAATTACATAGACAGGTGACACAGTAAGGATTCACATTTATTTGTTTGTTTGTTTGTTTGTTTGTTTGTTTGTTTATTTGTTTATTTGTTTATTTGTTTATTTGTTTATTTGTTTATTAGCCACACCATTACCAGTGGCTTCTGGGCGGCGTACAACATTAAAACTTAAAAACATTAAAAACATTTTAAAAGACAATATAAAATATCATGTATTAAAATAATTCTTAAAACATTAAAATTAATAAGTCATGCTGCTCATGTAGCCAGCTAGGGAATACTGTTTAATTAAAATGCTGGCTAAACAGAAAGGTCTTTGCCTGGCGCCGAAAAGCCAAAAATGTTGGAACCAGACGGCTCTCTATAGGGAGGGCATTCCAAAGTTTGGGGGCAACAGCCGAGAAGGCCCTATTTCGACATGCCATCCCCCTCAAGTCTTTCAGGGATGGCATCTTCAGAAGGGCCTCCTGGCCTGATCTTAGAGGACGGGCAAGCTCATATGGAAGAAGGCGGTCCTTTAGGTAACCAGGTCCTAAGCCGTTTAGGGCTTTATATGTCAAAGTAAGCCCTTTGAATTGGGCCCGAGCAGCAACCGGCAGTCAGTGCAAATTTTTCAGAACTGGCGTGATATGAGTCCGTGCGGCGGCACCACTTACCAGCCGCGCAGCCTGGTTCTGTGTCAGTTGCAGTCGTCAGACCGTCTTCAAAGGCTGGCCCATGTATAGCACATTGCAGTAGTCCAGTCTGGTTGTTACCCGTGCATGAGTGACTGCTGCTAGGCTCCGCTCATCCAGGTAAGGACGAAGTTGATATATTCTCCGCAGCTGTAAGAAGGCACCCCTGGACACCGAGTCCACCTGGGCTTCCAAGGTCAGACTGGGGTCAAGGAGCACCCCCAAGCTGCGGACCCTATCCTTTAGGGGGAGTGTGATCCCGTCTAAGGTAGGGAGATGGCCCTTTAACCTATCTGGCGGGGCACCTACCAGCAGCACTTCAGACTTGTCTGGATTGAGCCTCAGTTTATTGACCCTCATCCAGACCATTATTGAGTCCAGGCACAAGTTCAGAATGGTGACTGCCACACCTGGATTGGTAGAGAATGAGAGGTAGAGCTGGGTGTCGTCAGCATATTGCTGACTCCTCAGCCCAAACCTCCTAACGACCTCCCCCAGCGGTTTCATGTGCATATTGAACAGCATGGGAGACAGTATAGAGCCCTGAGGAACCCCATGACGCAACCGCCAACATTGTTTAGAATTTGGGAATTACCTTGCCTAGGAAGCAATTCATTTCAAACAATGCAGTTTTTTTTAAGGTAATGGGCTATGTATCAAGTTATAATTGTATAATTATTAACTAAAGTAATGTAACAATTAGTTACAAAGTTACTTTTCAGTATAATGAGTGAGATTTTAGAGTTATTTTTAAAATTACTTTCAAATTAATTTAAAGAAATTTCAATAAGATTGTTAATACCATTCTTTTACCAAGCCTAAATGGCAGGTGAAGTATCATTTGATTTTGTGTTATGTAATTTTAAAAAAAATATTTGCAAGGTACAATATTAGAACTGACCACTAGAATAGATATGACTGCATTTCAATTTATTTTTGTGAGTGGCTATTAAAACAGTTGGTTAATAACGCAAAACCTAACAAATTACTTGAGGGTTTGTAATGGCAATCTAGCTGCCAAAAGTGATGAGTAGGGGACATTTCACTTTTTTTCTGTAACCTATTGTACATTTGAACCCGTAAGCAATTTCAAACATTTTTATGAGTAATCTGATTTTTTTCACCAGGTTACTCATAACCATGTTCAAACCTACTCATAAGCTCAAACATAGATTGCAGAAAAAAAATATATGTTTAGAAATCCTCCCCCTAGCGATGAAGAGCACAAATTCTTTTCAAGAAATAATGTTCCAAGCTCTGCTGTGACATTGCTTTTTCTCAACAACCTATGCATGCAACATTGTTCGAAGTGACATCCATTTAACCCCTTAAAAACAAAGATACTTCAATCTTTCTCTGGGAAATATTTCTTCTGTTCTTAACTGCTTTCAGTTTTGAGACCTCCTGTGATCATTCAGTCTAAAAGTGTCCTTCATACCATTTCTCTCTAGCAACATCATCTTAAAATTGGCAGTCACACCATTTTAAAAGCCTTTGCAGACGCTTCGTTATCAGCTGAGACACTGTTTTGAATTTACATATTTCAATACAGACAATTCTGTTTTCTGAACTTCATAACAAATGTGTGATTTGTGGGCAAAAAGACTGGGCCAGGTGCTATGATTGATAAATATGCAAAACAAACACAGCCACAACAGTGTCCTAACTGTAAACATTAAGCTTGCTTTACTCCCTGGGCAGGGAAGGGAAAGGTTTCTTTCTTGGACAAAAACTTCCCATTTCCCATTGGAATTCTGGGAGTTGTAATCCAAAAAAGCAAAACTTCCCATCTCTGATATCTGGAGACTTTCTGGCTACTGGAACCGGCTCCTTGGTTTCTTGAGATGTGTTGTTTTTGTACTTTCAGCTGGAAAACCGGGGAGTGGGGCGCTTGTTCAGCCACCTGTGGGGGAGGCACTCAGACCCGCTCCGTTTACTGTGTCTCCTACAATGGACACGGTTCTCAGGGTGCTGTTGATGATGCTGAGTGCGCATCCTTAACAGAGAAGCCACGGAGCACACAGCCTTGCAACATGCGGCAGTGTGCAAGATGGATCACAGAGCCATGGTCTGAGGTAAGTGTTTTACTTAGTAGATTCAATGTACACACTTACTTTAATATTTATTTTGATGTTATTTGTTTTAAAGTAGATTCTGATTTCGGGCTACACTTTTGAAGGTTTTCTAGATATACAGGACTCAGAAGTGATTTACCATTCCCTTCTTCGGGAGCCGCTCAGGCACCATGCAGCTTGCCTAAGGCTACTCCTAGGTTGATCTTTGCTCTTTAGCCGCACCCAAGGGCGTGTATCCTTCAGGCAATGTAGCACCAGTACCTTGTTGGCTTGAGAAGGAGAGGAAAACCTAGCAATGGTTCATCTACTATTTCCATGTCCTACCTTTGAGATAAACTCCCTGCTAATGTATGTGTATAGCCTCAATTTGCCTTCTCTGTCCTTCAGATGTTCCCTTTTCCCTACCATTGAAATGTACAACATACACAGATCAGAGATGAGAAAGTGGCCATGTGCCCACATTGGCTGTGGGACCTGGGGTGGATGGTCAGAACCTGCAACACGCTCTAATTCTGAAACAAAGCCAGACTCCTTGATTGTTCTTCTCGTGCAGGAGACATTAAATGCTGCAGCAATATTCCTCTCACTTCTCTTGCAGAGTGAAGTCTTTTTAACGGGCACAAGAGGGTATTGATAAGGTGTAGAAAACTTCAAAGTGGAAGAATCTACAGTATTTCAATGGTGAAATGTGAGGAAGAAGTGCATGTGAAGAAGTGAAATGTGAAGAAGTAAAAACGAGGAGTGAAGAGGTGCATTTCTTCAACTGACCAGCTCCTCTTTTTTTTTTTACAGTGCTCAGCTAGCTGTGGGGAGGGTGTTCAGACCCGGGTGGTAAGCTGCAGGACAGAGTCAGGCTCACAGACTCTCGATATTGCCTGCTTGTCAGGACCGAAACCTCCACAGACCCAGCCCTGCACTGGAGAGAACTGTATACAGGAGATTGGATGGCATATTGGAAACTGGGGATTGGTGAGTCCTGCTTAGTGTTGCCATTAATTTCTTTATCTCTTGGCCAGTGCTCCTTGCTTCTTTCCTCCTCCTGCTGGACGAGTTTAAATACAAAGAGAGTGTTGTTCCTTTCAAAATTTTATTAGTTATTCAGTGGGTTAGTCCTCCTGGAAACACACATGTAATGAATTTAATGGTAGTGTGTTACATTGTAGCAACTCACATATTTAAAGAATAACATTTTGAAGTAACAATTTTAACATTTTAAAGATGTTTTTGAAATGTTGTTTTAAAAATGATTAGATACTTCCCCCTGTTTACTGCAAATGTAGAAATTTTCATATTAATGTGTTGGATCTAAGCAGCATTATTCCCTGGCTCTGGTGGCAAAATGGTCTCTAAGGAGAATCGTTGATACATTTTCTTCTTTGTCTGAGCTTATATATATTAGTTCTGTTCACATAGTAATTATTATTAATTTCATACTTTTGTTCTGGACAAAACAATGAGAAAGCTATGGCCCTTTGGGCCCAATCCTGACCTCAAGGCTCTCCAGTTCATGAGGCTGCTGTTCTTTGGAATTTCCCGCTTATGAAACTATCCCTGACATCTTTTTATCCGAACTAGAATCTTGAGGGGCCATTCTTTGAGGCAGGGTCTCAGGACCCTTGATTCACTTCTCACTGTTATGTTTGGAGGCTGAAAACCAAGCTAAGGGAATAATGAGTAATATAGAAGACTCTAAAAGAACATTCATGGTCTTCATGAGCAACAGCGGGTAGAGGTTTTGTCAACTGTCCATCAAATGTCTCTAAGGCTAATCACCAGTTCCTTAATGTTAAGGGAATGTCACTGAATTATGAACTTCATCATTATACTCACCGCTCTTTCTATGATGAGGAAAGTCAGTGTGTGGGCCAAGCCACTTCCAAAATGAGACAGAGCCTCAAAGAGTCACACTTCAAGGTGTTGACACAGAAGGGGAGGTGACGCCTTCTGCATTAGAGTGAATGTGTGTATGTGTGACAGAGACTGAGAAGCGGGAAAAGTGGGATGTCAGGAGCTAGTGGGGCTACTCTCATCACTGCTGTCACGTGACCCTCACTGTGCATACTTGGAACCCATTCAGTGTTTACACCTCCCTACCATGTTTCATTACTACAGCCTCTATCATCATGCGACCTGACAATTTACCAGAAGGCATAGTTACAGCAGACTTACATCTCTTTGCTCAATGTCTGATTTTTGTTTTGGTTTGGTTTTAACACCATAAAAAAGGAGGAGGGTCATGTTAAGTGTCTTAGAAAAAAATAATTACAGCTCCCTCTTAACGTAGCTTGTCCTTTGTGTTCAAGTGCTCCAAAAGCTGTGACTCGGGCATCCGAACCCGCCAAGTCATCTGTGCTGATGGTGATTCCAAATTCTACAATCACGAGATCTGCCAGGCCATCCAGCCACAGGTACCAACCATGCTGGGAACCTGCAATACCCAGCCCTGTCATCTGCCACAGCGTAAGTGAGAAGTGGGGTGGTGGTGGTGGTGGCGGCGGTGAAGTCGTATTCCTCTGTTGTTCATTAGTGCCTTTAAAAAATAGTCTGCTAAGATATTTTGGGCTGTTGTGGGATGGACGGTAGTGCCTATGTGCATACAACATGAGCACCAAGGTGTGACTCCTTCTTGACAAGCTAAACAGTTTAAATAAAACTTTTCTGAAATCTATGTATTAATTATTTTATTTTCAATATTTATATGCTGCCTTTCACCTTAAAGGGATCCAGGACAGCTTAGAGCAGGGGTGTCCAACCTTTCACCTTCCCTGGGCCACATTAGAAGATGAAAATTTAGTTTGGGCCACACATAAATTTGGTTTGGGCCACATGGGGGGGGCAGCCCTAGCCATGCTCCGCAGCCCCGCTCCAAGCGTGCTTACCAGCAGCTGCTATCTCAGACAGCAGAGGCTGCCAGCTTCGACTCCTGTGGCTTTATGGGGCCAGGAGGGGATCCACCTGTTGACAGGGATGGCGCAATGCAGTCACGCAGCCCCCCTCTCCTTTGGAATTTCTTTTAAAATAAAAAATTGCACTGGGCCGCATTATGAGCCGACCTGGGCTGCATGCGGCCCTTGGGCCGCAGGTTGGACAAGCCTGGCTTAGAGTATGAAAAGAAACAGTATTAGAAGTATTCTTATAATTATTTTTAAAAGAATTAAAGACACATAATATTAAAATTAGAAGATAAAAGCAGTAGTAAAACACATTTAAAATAACAATAAAAAGCAGTGCGGTTTTAAGAACCCCTCTTAGACAGTCAGTCACTAAGAAGGAGCCTTCCTGAAGAGAAAGGTCTTCACTTGTTTGTAGGAAGACAACAGAAAGCAGGTGGGCCTCCCATGGGAGGTAGTTCCAGAGCTTAGGAAGAGCAACAAAGAAGGCCCGCTCTCATGTCTTCACCAAACACACCTGTGAGAGTGGAAAGAAAGGCCTCTCCTGATGAACTTAACATCCAGGGAGGCTCATGAAGGGAGATGTGGTCTTTGAGAAGGTTTGGGCCCACATTGTTTAAGGATTTATAGGATAAGACTAGCACTTTGAAGTGTGCCTTGAAACAGACTTGGCAGTTACTGTTGGGGCCGCTGTAATAGGCAGATTGTGTGATCCTTGTAACCACCGTCAGTTAGCCATCTGGCTGCAGCATTTTGGACCTCCTGAAGTTTCTGAACACTTTCCAAAGGCGTTCCTGACACTTGCAGAAATGCTTACATGAAGACAAATGCCATTAATATGATTATAGTCATGTGGAAAAAATGGATGCAACACTAGATTAAGCATAGGTAAAAAGGTACAAGGTTCCCCTTGACATATAGTCCAGTCATGTCCGACTCTAGGGGGTGGTGCTCATCCCTGTTTCCAAGCCATAGAGCCAGTGTTTGTCCGTAGACAGTTTCCTTGGTTAAGTGGCCAGCACAACTAGACACAGAACGCCGTTACCTTCCCACCGTGGTGGTGCCTATTTATCTACTTGCATTTTTTACATGCTTTTGAACTGCTAGGTTGGCAGGAGCTGGGACAAGCGATGGGAGCTCACTCCGTCGTGTGGATTTGAACTGCTGATCTTTCGACCTTGCAGCCCAGAGGCTTTGCGGTTTAACACACAGCACCACCATGTCCCTAGATTAAGCATACACTAAGTTAAATAACATTATCAGGCGTTAAACATGAAGTAGAAGAGTCCAAGAATCTACTGATACAACTGATACTATAGACTATTAGGTGGGCAGTCCTGGAAATTGTAATCTAAAAAGTTTATTTGTCCAACCGTTTATTGGCCGCTATCTGCCCAATGTTGGAGTCATAGAGGTGTCATAAATATGCAGCAGGGACTTCCACACATACTGTAAAACAAACCATAAATTCCAGCTGTGTCCCCAAAAATCTATAACCTGGTCTGGACTGGTAATTCAGTACCATCACCATTTTAGCATACTTAATGTTGATTAGCTGTGGCTTCTTATTATTATGGAGAATGCTGCGGGGGGAATTAGGCAGAATTTGGAATCTTAATTATCTTCTGTGCCAGTACTGAGGCATCCAAGCCCTTCAAGTCATCTGTGCTGATTGCCATTCCATATTCCATGTGTAGATTCCAAAAATCTAAGTTTACGTATTACAGATTGATACAAAGTAGAGATGGGGGTATTCATATTTGTATTTGAATATTCCCACACAGCTGGATTTAACAAGGGTCCGGCCCCCGGGGCCAGACTGTCCACTTATGCCTCTTGTTGTGGTGGCCCCACTCATTCTTCCGACCGCTCCCAGAGTGCCACTCTCTTCCCGCTCAGCTAGCTACTCGGCAGCCTCGCAGTGAGACTCCGTCCTCCCTCCCCCTGCCTGGAGTGACTAGCCAAGTGGGAAAGGCTAGTCGCAGGGCTCTGGGAGCAATTGAAAGGATGAGCAGGGCTGCCAGCACATGTATGAGTGGACGGTCTGGCCCCAGGGGCTGGACTTTCATTAAGTCCAGCTGTGCAGGGATATTCATATTTGTATACGAATATCCCCATCTCTAATACAAAGCAATACAGAACACAGGCTGATTGGATGTACTTGCCATTATGCTAAAATTTCCTCTCCAAAATCAAGTCAAGCAGACCCAACAATAATATATCCCACACATCTTCGTTTCTAAAATAAAACAAGCTTAGTTATCCTTCAACTTATTTATCAGTTTAGGAGCCTCATGGCGCAGTGGTTAAACCGCTGTACTGCAGCCAAAACTGTGCTCACGACCTGGGGTTCAATCCTGGGTAGCGGCTCAAGGTTGACTCAGCCGTCTATCCTTCTGAGGTCGGTAAAATGAGTACCCAGCTCGCTGGGCGGGCAATGTGTAGCCTGCATAATTAACTTGTAAACCGCCTAGAGAGTGCTTGAAGTGCTATGGGGCGGTATATAAGCAGCATGCTTTACTAGCAGAAAACAATGTTTCACATCCCTTGGGTCATGTACAAATGTATAAATATTTGCCATGTAGTCCCACTCTTATATCAGAGGACATGCCCACAAAGCTCACATTAAAATATAGCATTTAGTCTTTAAGGTGCCACAACATTTTCATCTCCTATTTTTGTTGTTGTTGTTGTTGTTGTTGTTGTTGTTGTTGTTGTTGTTGTTGTTGTTGTTGTTGTTGTTGTTGTTGTTGTTGTTGTTTTTCTTGTCTAAAAAGCACTCTTATGTCAGCGGACATGCTCACAAAGCTCACATTAAAATATAGCACTTAGTCTTTAAGGTGCCACAACATTTTCATCTTCTTTATTCTTTATTTTTGGCTGCTATGCCAGCACAGACTAACACGGTTCTGTCTTATAAAACCACCCCTTGTCCTGGGCATCAAAATACATAGTGCTGAAATTTTTCAGTGGACTTATGGTAGAATTTACTTCCACGTATTCAGAAAGTAAAAACCCACCAGAGAGTTTTATTGATTAGGGGACCCACTTGCCACCAACTTAATAAAACTAAAAATTGAGGCTGAACTGATTTCAATGGGAGAAGAAATGATTTTTGCACGGAAGGTGCTGCCATTTTCTAAGCTAGGAAAATGAATTTCATTTCAGAGGTTCCCAGTATGCAAGACGCCACAGGCTATGACATCGGTCATCAGGCTGTATGGACCCGCTACAATCCTGATCATGGCGCCACAGGTTTGGAACCACTGTCCTTTCTTTTTCTAATCTTTATTGAGAGTTGTGTTCCTTTAGGATAGCTGTACAAAGTTTTACAGGAGTGTTTTATAACAGTAGAGTCTATATGATAGGCCTTTGTACAGACTATACCTCTTATGGGGAAGGATGGAAGGACTTATCTGTAATATCCTACTTCTTGATTGCTAGATCAAGAAGTTTTATATTTATCTCTGGAAGCTGGTCTCCAGGTGAAAACTAGAGGTGAATCACTTCTGGTAAGCAACAATGTACTGGGGTAAAGGAAGAAGGCATCCTAATTTATATGTTATAAATATTTGTTTGTTTGAAATCTGAGATTTGTTGGATCTATATATGTTTGAAATCCCACAAAGAGATCTTTAATTATTCTAACCCTATGACTGAGCAGAACTATAGCTCTGAAGGAGAAGATATTCTCCATTCCAGAAAATGCTGTTTTCCAGTTTCTAGAAATGAGAGAATAATCCAAGCTGCCTCCACACATCACCAGTCCAATGAAGATCATAGCTCCAATTTTTTGCCCTTGCGGTGGGAAACCCATTCAAGCTCCTCTGTGTCTCACCACCTCAACACACATGGAAATGTTGGGGCTGATGTTCACAACTGCCACCAAAGTCGTCACGGGTGTTGTTCAGATGGTCGCACTTCAGCAGCAGGTCCTTTTGGGCAAGGCTGCCCTTTGGAGAGTTGTCATCAGAGCAGGTAAGGCAATTTCACTGAATAACACATACACTCACATAGCCAATCTGCTGGTTAGGCTTGAGCAGGTCACACTAGGACTGGTTTCTGCTGCTGTTTCTGTGTGCAGGTACGGATGCTGCCCTGATGGGATATCGGCTTCACGGGGGCCAAATAAAGAAGGATGTGCACAATACTACAGTGACGTTTATGTAAACAGAAATGAACCTGCTGCAGCTTCTCCAACGGTATGTGTAGGGAACATCTCAGCCAGATGTTCTTAACAGTGTGACTTTAATTACTAAATATTCATGTTGCACCAAAAGTATGCTCAATGACATGTTCAGTATCTCACCTTCTGTAGCCAGCTAAACATAGGGCCATTTACTCTTCCCAGAGATCAAGAAAGAAAAGTGTCTTCTTACAAATAATGTCTGTGAAGCATAATTGTTATATTTTAAAGGCCAGCTAGTGGGAGAGTTGCAGAGGCAAGATCTGAACTAAGTAATTCCTAGTCCAGTCCTTAATCACGTAATCCCTAATATTTCAGTAAACCCTGTGCTGAACATCAGGTTTGTATTTCAGTAGATAGCTTTGTAGATATTGCAAAAGATTTAGACCTGCAAGGTAATCTATGGACTACAGGAATCAAGCATAAACCACAAGAGAATGGATGACAAACATAGTTTGCAAGGTGATTTTTGGTTTCCACCATTCTATTATATCAGTCATATGCCATTGCCCAAAGAACAGTTGCTGAAATGTAGCATCCAATTGTCCCTTCATCTGAGGATCCCAAGCCATGCTGTTGCCTTTGGGTCCCCTTGGCAGACAGCCGCACTGTACGTTTAGCCTGAGACCCCCAAGTCTTCTCTTCCTCCTGGCCTCCTTCTCCCATGCATGGCAACGGGCACTTTGGAAACTGCAGCTGACTCTGGCAACCAGGTTTTACTCCTGTGCCAGATGTTTTGCTAAGCATAAGAGGAGCAGGAGCCTCTCAGCTGAGGATAGTGTTGGCTGCACCTTCTCCCAGCTCTGACAGATTTCCTTCAACCTTGCCAAAGCATGTGGACCCAGTGCCCAAGGAAATGGAGTTGGTGGGAGCCTTCCGAGCAGATGATTGCTCAGACCCTGGAATCTTGCTCTCTAGAGAAAGATCCAATTTGCCCTTAGGTGGGCAGAGTGTTTGGCAAGCAAAAAGAGTGGCCAAAATCCTGTTGCTTAGCCCAGTCCATCCCAGTTAGAGTAGGGCCATTTGAATCAATGGACTCTACTGCAATTTATTATGCGTAAGCAAGAAGATTTTGGCCAGTGTGGGCAGGTGATTTCTTTTAGCTCCTCCTTGAGAAGGAGTCAGTAGTACAAGTTGCAAGAAAAATGGCACATGTGTTTTTACTTCTTTTTCCTCCTTGACATTTATGAATTTGTAAAAACACGTCCATATTTCATCACTTATAATTCCTGATGGGCAGCTATATTATGTCATTTCATTGTCCTTTGAAGTTGCCCTGTTAAGTCCATATTTCATCACTTATAATTCCAGATGGGCAGCTATATTATATTTCATTGTCCTTTGAAGTTGCCCTGTTATGTGCTTAAAGGGCTGCTGTCATCTCTTGCACTAAATTATATCTGTTTAATTTTCCTGATTGGTATCATGTTCAGTAAAGGAAAATGAAACACAGTTGAAAATTGTTTCTGGGAGTGGTTCAACTATATGTGCTCTTTCACATGATATCATCTTGGTAACATCTGGATTTGTCCAAGGCGAGCCGAGGTCTGTCCCAGCAGAGGCCAACAGAGGAGTGCCGGAGTTCTATGTATGGTTGTTGCTATGACAACATTGCTTCTGCATCAGGGCCTAATGGGGAAGGATGCCTCAACAGACCCAGCCAACGTAAGTGATAATTTGGTTTTGAAAGGTGGATTCATCCACTGCTTTCTGTTTAAAAGGAGAAAAGCAGATGACATGCTTTTAAACAGTTTTCTGTGGGAATCTACGGTTTGATTTTTTAAAACCTTGTGACAGATTTGGAAGTAGTTTTGGAATATAATGTGAAGATTCCAGTCTTTGGATTCTGCAGTCTTTGTAAGAAATTCTGGGGGGAAACTGCTGAAACTGAGGAACCTTGTATGTTCTTTTTACTTTGGTACTGTAAGGCATCTGCATTCATTGCTCATGATGGAGAGAAATCACTAATGCATTTTTGTTCTGGCTAATTCCTGCTCAGCCACCCTGAAGAATTCATGACTGCTAAGTGCAGTTTCCCAGAAAGGGGAGATCAAAAACAGCTTGGACAAGGGCAGGGACCATAAGGACTGCAGCTTTGAAGCCACCTGGCACTTTGCCTTCCTTTGAAAGCTGCATTGTTTTAGCCCAGTTGCTTGCTTTCAGCTGGCTTCTGGATGGGCATGGGCTCAGCTGAGAGGTACTCACCCCACCATTACCCTCAAAACACAGGGTCTGCTTTTATTTGTATGGATGGTGCCATTTAGTACTGAGATAATCTAGAGTCCTGAACCCTGTATCTAAGAGTATACCTGCAGTACAAAGCTGCTTGATAAAAATTTAAGTATCCTGGCTTTCTTCAAAGAATTCTGGCAAATAGATTTCTAGTATCTCTTTGTTGGATCTACATTCCCTTACCCTCCACAGAGCTGCTACTTCCACGGAACTGCAAAAATTGAGAATTAGCATGTGGTGTAATTGGCAGCTCTTGGTTCTGTCCGAAAAAGATAGACTCTGAAGGAGAAATGTCTGAAATACACCTTCGGCTTCTAGGAGGTCAGAAAAGAATGATTGGAGTTCAGCTGGTGTGTGAGCTGAGTCTACCCAATACTGTACTTAACACAGCAGCTCTGCTTCATGCTAGCAGTCGAGGGAGCAGAGCATGGCTGCCCTGTTAATACACAGACAGGAAGGGAGCTCTTTGGCTCGTCTGTAAGTTGCCATGGCATTTTGACATGCAGTTATGGCATGCCAAAGCAATGCCATTGTCCAAGCAAGTTCCAATACGAAACATTCGTTGAGAGGGTCATTCTAAGTGCACACTAGAAGACTGTGTTTAATTGCACTTTAGAGATTTTATGGAAGAGGGGAAGGGTTCCTACCCTCAGGGCAACATAATTATCCAGACATGCCCTTGCCTCTCCTTCCTCCACAGAGCATATCTACAGCCCATCTACAGCCAGCTCTCCTAAGAGTTGCGATTTTGAGAGGTTGCTGAGCAGATTCCTTTCTCAGGGTTCCTCACAGCAGAGTCATTTCAGCCAAATCAGTTTTACTTGGGTAATGGAGACAACTCCTTTAGAGGACTCCTTGCCTCAACTCTCCCTCCTACAAACTAGGGTTGGCAGTAGGCTTTCATGGATCTCCAGGCAGGGAGCCACAAGTGGGTTCCTCAGAACCAGCCTCAACCAACCGTGTCTCCAGTGACTGCTTTCATCCCAGCCTTCCAACATCCCTGGTATTGTGGTGGCAAAATTAATAACAGGACAGGGTGGTGCATTTTCTTAATGGTGAGAGAGCATAGCAATATCAGAGGGAGGACGTGGCCATCATGTTCCTCTGCCAACGGAATGGGAAACACTTTTGCTCTTAATCCATGAGAAGGTTTGGAAGCCACCTTCACTCTTCTAGCTTTTTGATGTAACAACTACATACTATTATTGCTGCTGTTGCTGCTACTGCTATTGTATGCTGTCACATCAGGTCCAACTTATTGCAACCTTTGCCAAGGTTTTCTAGGGTACCATACTGTATAATGTACCTAGAAATAGCTTTTCATTCCCTTCTTGTGGTGGTGCTCTAGCATTTTCGCTCTGGCCCAAGACTACACAGGCTGGCTCTCTAGACATGGTGTATAATTTATTGAATGTGAGCAGAACATTTGTGCACCCACTTGGTCTGTGACTACTTTTCTTCCGCTATTTTCTGATAGCGTACCCTATCAACTGTCTGCTGCCCACTGCCCATGGCCCCTGTTCAGATTGGACGACTCGCTGGTATTTCATAAGTGACGTTGGAAAATGCAACCGATTCTGGTATGGAGGCTGCCATGGCAATAAGAACAACTTTGCCTCTGAAGAGGAGTGCATGAAAATGTGCCACGACGCAGAAGGAAGACATGATGAGAGGCATCACCACTATGGCACTGTTCCTGACATCCACACCAGTTCTCAGCAATTTGCGAGAGGATCCACTGGTCACAGTCATGGAGGAGGAGGAGGAGGAAGAGCAACTCTGCGTGCCGAGGTTTCCCCAGCGCGGGCAGGCTCGGAAAGTCACTCAGCGCTACATCACAATGAGAGAGGCTGGGGAAGGACGATGACTATAGACGCTTTGCCTGAGCAAGGGACTGGTCTGCCAGAGAACCAACGGCAGGCTTCTCATCACTCAGCAGCAGATGGAGATAGAAGGAAGGATCCAGCAAGCCATTTGCATGGTTTGGGGGAAACTCTCACCTTTGGACACTCTGAAAGGCGACTGACTGTCAATGGTCAGACAGTTCACCATGCGCATGAGGAGTGGGGGAGGGAATCGGGAACAGACAGGTCCACTGTGAATAGATACGAGCACCAAGCTCCACCAGCCTCCTCCATCCAACATTCTCTGAACAGGTAATCTTTTCCCCTACTAGCACAGTTTCATGCAAAGCAAAATTGCACCCTGCTTTCTGCTGTATGTGAACATTTTGGTACTTACCCAGGATGCAATTTCACATAGCATTTCAGTGGAACTCTGTTATAGCATATTGCCACTCCCAGATGTCATCTACCCACTACTAGCACTTTACCATTCCAGATGGGTTTTCATGGGGTTAGTCATGTTAATCTGTTGCAGGAAGAACAACAGAGTCTTCTATCATCTCAAAGGCTAAGGTTAGTACAGTATTCTGTTACCTAAATGAGGAATGGAAAGAGAATTGTTCGCGTGTCCCCCTGTTCCAGCAATCTCCTTGTCACGTGCCTGTTCTTGCACTGGTTGCGAGATCAGTCGTGCAACAAGGATCAGGCTAGAGCAGAAGGTACATTTAACATGACTTTCCTTTTACCTGGAATGTCAACCTACCAATTTTTAATTGGTATAAACTTTAGGAAGTGCCTCAGATGGCATCTGATGCAGTGGGCTGCAGAACTTGAGAGCATGTGCAGTTGCTAGTACTACAAAATTCTCTATTATTCTGAAGAGCATTGCTCTTTGTAAATCAGCATTCCTATCACCTTCTCAAGGTTAAAGGAGTGTATAAGAGCAGGTTTATGGTCAGCTGTGTCTCTCTCAAGTCCTGTGCGGGAAGCATTGGTCCAAATTCTTCTAGAAGACCACACAGTTCTGGTCTTCTAAAGCTGAGAGCAACTTCAGATCCTTTTTCTGGCATTTAAGCATCCAAAGTAAATTTTCTGGAAGAAGCCAGCTCTTGAACATCTTGAAGACGAGCTTTTAGATATGAGAGCTTGCTCTGATGCCTCATCTAGATATGATTGCTCAAGATCTGTCTTAATTCTTGTAGAGACATAGGTTAATAAAGTTGGGGGCCTGGTATGCAACTGGTGCAACTCCTCCCTTCTTATTACAGTAGCCATAGAACTGACTGCTGTAATACACTCTATGTGGGGCTTCTCTTGAAGCTGGTATGGAAGCTTCAGGAGGCCCAGAATGCAGCAACCAGATTAGTTGCTGAGTTGAGGAATTTCAGCCACGTCACCCCAACTCTAGTCCAGGGATCACTACACACAAAAGACCAGCTAATGACACCCATCAACCACAGTGACAGATAATCTCTTCTTAGCCCAACAATACACCCACAAGACACACTAATCAACCATCTACAGAAAAAGACAAAAGCCTATCTCACAGCCATAAACTCCCAAGCCAACTACACCAGAGCACAGAGTGCTGTCCTCTGAAGATGCCAGCCACAGAGACGTTAGGAAGAACAATCTTCAGAACATGGCCAAAGAGCCCGAAAAACCCACAACAACCATTATGTTGCTCTTGTTTTTTAATGGATTGGTTAGGAGACAGCTCTGTTTTGTTTGCTTGTTTAATGTCTTGGGCACCCATCTGTGAAAGTTTTATATGCCCAGATGCACAACAGTTGTAAGAAGGGCAAACATCTTAAACTGTACTTTGATCCTGAATTTAACATTACAGAAACCTGATTAAGATTCATAGGATGAAGTAAAATGACACAGTAGTTACTTAAGACCCCGTCCTTCCAGAAGTACTGTATGTTGACAAGTATTAGAATTTTTTCCCGTCTTAATCTGTAGTTCTGCCTTTTAAGCCAACCCAAAAAGCCTTCAGAAAATTGCTGTGTGTCTTTCAGAATCGTCTTGGATGGATCCGAGTCTTCCGCTGTGGAGGCCAGCTTGGGACAAAGCATTCGCCTGCTCTGCAAGGGAGGCAGTTCCTATTTCTCCAGAGTGGAATGGCAGAAAGATGGGCGACCCATGTCATCCGACAGGTAAACCTAGCTCCTGAATCTACCCTGCTCTGGAACTTGCCCTATTAAGTTCCGCCATCAGTTAGGCTGGGGGAGAATATTGGGACATTGACTTAATTTCAACATATTACAGTTCTTCAGTTGTTAAAAATAATAGCTGGAATCCTGTTCTCTACCCTGTTGTAACAGGTAGCAAATGCCAATGCTGACTTCTTTATTTGTGGCAGTTTGCCACTGAGATTTATACTAAGCGTGTTACACCAGAGGATGTACTAATAGGATTTTGGAGAGTGTTAGTTTGATGTTGATCAGAAATGGGACCCTGCAACAAAATGTTGCTGCATTAAGTATTCCTGCACAGGTTTTCAACTACTATATCCCTTTCTTTTTCTTTCCACCCAGCTTCCTCCTGACCCCTTTTCCAAGTACTGTATCTAGCAGCATATTGTGTCCTGAGCAGTGATTCAAACTCAGGCCTGCTGAGTACTAGTCCATCACTTTATCCACTACACCACAAGGAGTATCAAGTTTGCTCTTAATCCGTACTGTTTGTTGATATCACATAAATCACAACACAATTCAGCACCAAGAAAAGCATCAGCCTTTGACCTGTATATATGTTATGAAATTTAACAAGATTTCCATGCATGACCAAGTCTACTTCCTTCACTTGGCTGGATCTCTTACCAGTTAGAAATCCTGATCAGCCATTTATCACATTTCTCTTACTCACTTTTTAACAGCTGATCAATAAAGTGTTGTTAACATGTAATTGAGGCTGACTTCACATTTCTTGCTTGTAGCTAAGACCTGATATGTAACAATGCTCTACTTCTCCCTCCCCTTCCAGGCACACCTACCAATCTGACAATTCCTTAGTGATCAGCCAGCTCAGAGCAGAGGATGCTGGGACTTACATGTGCATAATTTCAAATGGGAGGACCGAACGCAGACAGATTGAGTTGAAGATCAAAGGTTATTAATTCTTTTATTTTATTTTTCAGGTCACCTGATTTTACTTAATGATTTTTGTCAGTGAAATCAGGCATTAAGTTAAAAGCCAACTTGTAATGTATAATTTACAATATTTATAATTATAAATTATAATTTATAATATGTAGGCTGGGGATGACTTGAAGAAGTCAGTCAGGATCTACTAAAGGTAACGGTAAAGGTTCCCCTTGACAATTTTTGTCCAGTCGTGTTCGACCCTAGGGGGTGGTGCTCATCCCCGTTTCCAAGCCATGGAGCCAGTGTTTGTCCGAAGACAATCTTCCATGGTCACATGGCCAGTGCGACTTAGACATGGAACGCTGTTACCTTCCCACCGAGGTGGTCCCTATTTATCTACTCGCTTTTGCATGCTTTCGAACCGCTAGGTTGGCGGGAGCTGGGACAAGCGACGGGCACTCACTCTGTCGCGTGGATTCGATCTTACGACTGCTGGTCTTCTAACCCTGCAGCACAGGTTTCTGCGGTTTAGCCCACAGTGGCACCACGTCCCTTAGGATCTACTAGTAGATCGCTATATGATTTGCAAAAGATTACCTGCAGTTTCTGCATCCAGTTGCTTAAAAACTAACAACATTGACTTTTCCACCTTAAGTAGGCTGCTGAAATTAAGACTGCTGGGGTAACTAGGAGTGGAGCCATGCTAGTTCACGTCTCATGCAGGAAAATACCTAGAATTCTTTAGAAACATGCTCATAAGTATCCTGTTCTTTAATTCTAGATGTATCTCTCTTTAGCACCTGGCTCCTATTGTTGGATATTTGAGGTCCAATTCTGTTGCCTCATAGTGCAAGCATAGTACAAGGTTGTGCTGCACCCTAGTACTGCAGGTGTGAGCTCTATCCTCTGTCCACTCATCAGTTCTAGTCAGAAGAAGAAAGAATCAAGACAACACTGACAAGGGCTAGCCCTTTCTTCTCTGGTCACTGTGAGATACAGGAAGCTGGACTAGATGGGCCCTTGGCCTGATCCAGCAGGGCTCTTCTTATGTTCTCTGTTGTGTGTTATACCTCTGATCTCCTCATTCTTATGCCAATAGAGGACCACAAGTAGAATGTTTTCATTTAAAATAGTTTTAGGAAAAATGTGGGGGGGAAGGAGGGGTAGTGGGATCAACTCTTCAGAGAAAAGGGTGTGTGGCGTAAAATCCCTGGAGGTAGCCCACCCGTGCTCTAGAGGAAGGTCACCTTAACTCTCTCTCCCCCCCTCCACACACACTCTGTTTTGTAAACAAGCCAGCTCACTCTCCACCTACCAAATGTCACCAGCTCAGGAAAAGACAAGAGCTGTCCTTTTCCATTTCTAGAACAGGAGTAATAACTTTAGAGCAGCAGAACTGGAAAGTGGGAAATCTAACTCCCAACCTCTGGCTCCACAGCCAGATTCCTCAACCACTGAGCTATTCAGAATGGGGCTGGTGCCTGTGTCAGGATACAGCCACACTCTGCCTTATGGGTGATGGTGGTGGAAATGGACTTTGGGTAACAGACAGCATAATGGCCCTTTCAGTACCTTATGCTGGAAAGCATAAGCCACAGGACTGGAGGTCAGATTGAGGGTCAAAGGCGCTGGGCTTTGCTCACTTCAGGCAGAGCTACACCCCAGGCAGGATTGCCTACCCCATTATCTGGAGGGAAGATTGGAGCTGGTGAGTGTAGTCTGGGTTGGTGAGGGCAGCCCAGGCAGGTTTTCAACAGGTGGAATTAAATTAAGTAAACTTAGTTCCATTCTTCCTGGAGGTATCTTGTAAACTCCTTATCATATTCACTGAACTGCTATCAACCTTGGTGAAGGACACCAGCAATTTAGGAAAATAGGAAAGTGCCTTAGAGTAAAATCAGACTCTTAATACAATTAGCTCACATGTTATTTTTTATTGACTTAGACAGGCTCTCCGAGGTTTTAATTCTTTTAGAGTAGCACCTGGAGATGCAGGTGCTATGCCACAGAGTTATGGCCAGGGCCAACGTCTGGTATAAAGCAGTGAGTCAATGACGAAGAATACCTTGGCACCTTCACATACCACTATTATTATGTGGTCCAAAGCCAAGAATGAGTGAAAAAGCAGACTGTCAGGAGCAGACCTGTGGGGCTTTTGTGAGCCAGCCCTTGCCCTTGACCCTAGTCCTTCCTGTGGCCCATCTCAATTACACAGAATAAAGATTTCAGCCTCACAGCTCTTCAGTGGTCAGTATGTTTATACTTACCTATAGAGAGTTTCAGGTGTAGTGTTAGAAGCATGATTTCTATAAAGGTGTCATATCCTCCCCCCCCCAGCCATGTTCCTGGCTAGGTCTCCCAGTCTGTCTCAATTCCTTGCTCTCTCCATTCTCCATTATATGATTTGAACGTGCATGCCGCCCTTTGCCTTTCTTCCTACTCTGCCAGGAGGTGGTCTGCTCTTATGCTGCAGTGAAGTTTGGCATGCTTCAGAGTCACAGTCCAACTAGCTGCCACTGCAGATTAGCTGTGCCTATGCTTTAAAAAAGGCTAAGCATCAAAGTGCTAGGGTCACCTGCATTTCATGGTCATTCCGTGACCATTTCACTTGCATTTCATGGTCAGTGAGCAACATTACCTAGTTTAATAATACAGTATATATATATTCTCACAAGCTAAGGGGCAATTCTGATTTCTCTTTCTCTCTCTCTGTCTCTCTCTCTCTAGAGATCTCTGCCTCTACTGTTGCAGAGGGAACAAGGAGACATAATCTTTCACACAGCCAGAATCACCAGCACAGAGGCGTTGGTACAGAAGTTAGCAGCAGGCAGCCTTTGACATATAGGTAAGATACCACGATCTGCTCATAGTCTCTATAAGATTTCAAAGCAGGCTGGTGGCCCTTCAGCTTTATAAACCAGTAAGAGATATCTCTGCCTCTACTGTTGCAGAGGGAACAAGGAGACATAATCTTTCACACAGCCAGAATCACCAGCACAGAGGCGTTGGTACAGAAGTTAGCAGCAGGCAGCCTTTGACATATAGGTAAGATACCACGATCTGCTCATAGTCTCTATAAGATTTCAAAGCAGGCTGGTGGCCCTTCAGCTTTATAAACCAGTAAGAGAATTTATTTGGAAACTGACCCATGTATAGGTTGGTACAGCAAATTGTTCTTCATCTTGTCTCAAGAAAAGTGTTTAAAGAAGCCCGTGAAAACAAGGTCTCCTTCAGCCTGGTGCTAAATGTGCTAAACTGCAGCCCCCATCATTGTCATCCACCACAAAGGAAGGCCTGTACTGAACAGAGCGAATCATAGCCAGTCCAGCTCTTGGTGAAGGCTTTGGGGAGATTTTGTTCAAGAACATCTAGGAGACCCAAGGTTGGGAACCACTGCTCTAAGGGATTCCCATGAGCCTTCGCACCAGAGTTCTCTAGTAGATAGTTCTAAGTACCTTATCAGACTATAGATCCGAGAATTCCACAGGAAAGAGACATGGCAGTTACAATCGCATCAGACTGCCATAACTTTGCACTGTAGATCAGTGGTTCCCAACCTTGGGTAACCCAGGTGTTCTTGGACTGCAGTTCCCAGAAGCCTTTAACACCAGCTGTGCTGGCGGGGGTTTCTGGGAGTTGCAATGGGTTAACCAAGGTTGGGAACCCCTGCTGTAGATATAAATCCATGCTGTTACGATGATTCTGACTTATGGCAATCCTTTCCAGAGTTTTCTAGGTATATATAGTACTTGGAACTGGTTTTCCAGTCCCTTCTTCTGGAGTACTCTGAGACTATACACTGTGTCCAAGATCACACAGGTTGGATCCTCTCCTACAAGGCACAGTGGGGAATCCAACTCTACAGCCCACTGGTCCATCTCACTGGGCACTCAGTTCATTAGAATTCTGCTATGTTGTTTTCCTTTTTGCTCCTCTACTACTAGAGCAGTGATGGCGAACCTATGGCACATGTACCACAGCTGGCATGCAGATCCATCTCTGTGGATGCACGAGCCATAAGTTACTGGATTGCTACACCTGGCAGCCAAACCTGAGCAAGGGGCTGCAGCCGCACTGCTAGCACCCCGACAGGTGGCGGGCCAAGATCCAGAGCAGCTGGCACTGGCGGCAGTGGACCGGCCAAGCTATAGGCAGTGGCAGAGTTGGGCATGACTGGAGGCAGATCCGTAGAGGGGTATGGAGGGACCTCCATGCCCAGGATTCCCGCTTCCGCTGCCACTTCCGCCACTGCCCACCACCCACTGGATTGGTGTGGTGGTTTTTTTTTTGTTTGTTTGTGTTTTTTTGCAGTTTGGGCACTCAGGCTCAAAAAGGTTCTCCATCACTGTACCAGAGGATGAACATTGTGGCTATTCTGACTTGGGTTGCAGCTGCTGTAGACAAAGTCATGGTATGGTGCGACCAAGCTGGTTTCCCAGAGTCTTCAGCCAAGGGGTATAGAGGCACCTCCATGCCCAGGATTCCCGCTTCCACTGCCACTTCCGCCACTGCCCACCACCCACTGGATTGGTGTGGGGTTTTTTGGGTTTTTTTATTTTTTTGCAGCTTGGGCACTCGGGCTCAAAAAGGTTCTCCATCACTGTACTAGAGGATGAACATTGTGGCTATTCTAACTTGGGTTGCAGCTGCTGTAGACAAAGCCATGGTATGGTGCAACCAAGCTGGTTTCCCAGAGTCTTCAGCCAAGAACTTCTTATCATTCCTGCCCTTTTCCTGTTTATTATATTTTGAATAATCAGCTCTAATATACTGTGCTTTTTGTTCCCAAGTACATGACTGAAATATTCTAGCTTCTACATTTTATGTGTTTAATGATTTCTTAGTCTTTATTCATTTTCTTTAGCCTCCTTAATTGGTTATCCTCTCTATACAGGAAATTCTTAGCAACTTGTAATAAATTCACATTTCAATCATACAATGTGTGGTCTAAAAGCCAATTTCAAGTTTCTATTGCATATAACACTCTTCATCTTAAAGAAGCTACTCTGGGCATCTCTCTTCTGACTTTGTGTGGCAATGATTCTACTGCTCATCCAACCAAATTCTAAGGTATTTTTATTTGCTGGCATGCTCTACACATCTTTAAGGGATGTGGTGGCGCTGTGGGTTAAACCACAGAAGCCTCTGTGCTGCAAGATCGGACAACCAGCAGTCGTAAGATCAAATCCACGTGACAGAGTGAGCTCCCGTTGCTTCTCTCAGCTTCTGCCAAACTAGCAGTTCGATAGATGCAGATGTGAGTAGATAAATAGGTACCACCACGATGGGAAAGTAACAGCGTTCCGTGTCTAGTCACACTGGCCATGTGACCACGGAAACTTCCTTCGGACAAATACTGGCTCCACAGCTTGGAAATTGGGATGAGCACCGCACCCTAGAGTCAGACACGACTGAATAAATTGTCAAGAGGAACCTTTACCTCTACTTACACATTTTGAATCTTTAACTACTTTTCTCAGGCTGCTTGCTTTTTAGAGATTACTATGAACTTTGTTTTCACAGCTTTCACTTCTAGGCCATATTAATAATAGCCTACTTTATTGAGTAACTTTTGCAGATGATATAAATTGTTAGCTAGTTATATTGTACTGTCTGTATATCAGATTCTGTTGATTATCTCTCACCTCCCATGACAGTAAGTGTAATTTCAATTAGCAAGTCATTCTCTAAAGTTGGTCTTGGTATGCACATTGAAAAAGTGGGGAGAGTGCACATCCCCATACTCATCATATTTCTACGTAATCTCATTTTCTACCTACACTACACTTTTTTGGTGCCAGTACATTTGCCAATGATACGAGTCTGTTGAATAAAGACCATTAATTTAAGACTTGAATGAATTTTTGGTAATGGATTTTGTTTACCAACAACTCCATCAACTTCAGAGTGTTGACTTTGTCAGTAAATCAGGCATATGTATCCACTAGACATGGGATATTCATATCCATGTCCCTGGAGATATGAACATGAATATCGGTACCAACGTCATTCTCATTGTGCGAGTTTAGGAAGCCGCCTGATCAACATTTTCCCCCTCCCCATGCAGCTGATCACTTATGAACTTTGTTTTCATAGCTTTCACTATGCGAGTTTAGGAAGCCGCCTGATCACCATTTTCCCCCTCCCCATGCAGCTGATCACTCCAGTGAGGAGATGGGATGATGAGTTTCCCCACTCAGCTGTTGAGTGGTCAGCTACTCAGGGAGGTGGGGAAGTGCCGACTGACCTGCTTCCTGGATTGGTGTGATGAGAACGAAGATAGCTGTGCATGCCACATGGCAAGCAGTAAGTGGACCTGCCAGTTCAGTGTGGGGGATCCAGTTTTCCCAGGCATCTGTGGTACCAATACAGTATTCATATTCCTATCCCCAGGGATATGAATATCCCATGTCTAGTATCCACCATGTCACAGCACCTCTACCTAAGTTGACCTAAGTAGACATAAACAGAATAGTGCTTCCCTCGTTCCATATCCTCCTCCAAAGGCAAACTGTGTATCTCCTGCCACACACCACTGAGGACTGAAAAGTGTTGCAATGGGAAATGGTGACAGGATTTTTTAAAAAAAGAAGAGCCTTTCTTTACTGACCTCCAGCTTCTCAAATGCTTTTCCTGACAGTGGTTGTCCTAGAAGAGGACTCTTAAGTGAAGTGTTTCAGCTAGCTACCTGCTGCAGGAGTCAGGACTAGGCAGAGCCATTTGGGTCAATGACAGCAATCTCTCTTTAAATGTCCTTTCTGTTCATCTAGAAATCACGGTAGTCCTGCAACCAAAAAAGTCCAGCTTGGCCATGAATTGGGGTTGGGCTAGAGCACTGGTTCTTAACCTTGGGTTACTCGGGAGTTTGGACTGCAACTCCCAGAAGCCTTCACCACCAGCTGTCCTGACTGAGGTTTCTGGGAGTTGCAGTTCAAAAGCATCGGAGTAAAAAAGTTAAGAACCACTGGGCTAGAGCACTACTGCCCAGATGCCATGTGATCACCAGGAAATAGCTCACACTGGACTGTGACACACACAGTCCAAAATACAAGCTGTTTCCCTGTCTGGTCACACCTTCTGTTGGCCCCCTCAGTAAGGTCTGGTAAGCTTTAAAGTGCTTTACAGTTGGCTTGTATGAGTCAGCTTAGTCCCTCTACTTTGTCTGGCCTCCAAGATAGCTAAAAGATAAGCAATATTTTATTGAAATTCTCCAGCCATTTGTAGAAAGAACTAGGCAAGCTACAAAAACACCGTGCAAGAGAACACTGTGTTCCATATAATTGGCACCCTTTAGGCCGGCAGCCAAAGGAACACTTAGGAAAGATGTGTTTATATAAGTATTTGCACTTTGTAAAATGTTAAGAGAAGAGCAGCACAGAGGCTGAAGTGAAGCCTCTGCAGCCGTCCACTTGTGCTGGGATGAAGATGAGATGCCAGTGCATATCTAGCAGGAGGTATTGCACAGGTGCTCCTTGGAGGAAAATACACAGGAAACATTTCAATTGTTTAACATCTATATGAGGCCGCTGGGTGGGGTCATTGCACAGGCGCTCCTTGGAGGAAAATACACACAAATTGTCTCACACAAACTTAACAGGCAGAACTGAAATTATGGTCCTCTTTTTGATATCTGATCTATCTACTTGGTAGGTTAAAAATGTATAAGAATGACCCTTCGGTTATCGATGCCAACATTGGGGAGCGGGTTCGACTGCCCTGCCGTGTGGAGGCTTTGCCTTCTCTAACCATTGAATGGCAGAAAGATGGCCAGCCCCTCTCCTCTCCCAGGTAAGTTGCAAATAAGAAGCTGGCATGTGAATTAGGTGCCATCAGGTTGGAACTGACTTATAGCAACCCTAGCAGGGTTTTCAAGGGGAGATAGTTAAGGAGTGGTTTCACCAATGTCACCCCAACCCATTGAGTTTCCATGACCAACCAGAGCTTCAAACCTAGCCAGTCACTCTATCCCCTCCACACGTGATATCAAGAAGCTGATAATTATTAATGATAATTGTATGCTGTCAAGTCAATTCTGACTTCTGGCAAAACATTTCAGGTTTTTCCAGGTAGAGAGTACTTAGAAGTGGTTTACCATTCCCTTCATTTGGGTCTGTACATCTTGCCCAAGGCCACATAGGCTGGCTCTTTTCCCAGAAAAGACAGTGAGAAATTTAACTCCCAACTAATGACTCCATAGCCAGATATCTAACTCACTAAGCTATCCAGCAAGCTAAGAAACTTGTGCTCATCTACATTTCACTTGCAAAACTAGGGGTGCACAACTCCAGTCTTGTCACCAGTTTTTTTTACCAAAAATAGGCACAAATGACAATTCTTTCCCTGTATCTTGCAGCATGTGCCCTGTTGTCCCCTTTCTTTCCTGCCTTATCGACAAGTCTGAATCTTAATTTCTCCTTCCTCATTTTCCACTCCTATATATACTTCAGCACTATCTTTTCTCAATTACCTCTCAGTTTCCTGACCCACAGATCTCTTTGCAACCCCATTTCCCAGCTACATGCTGTTTTCCACCTGAAATATATACCCACTCTCAACCTATACCATCACAGGTGGTCTCTCAGCATATTCCATTTTTGTTATTCACCGTTTTGTCTCTCTCATCATTGCAGGACACAGGAAACTGCCTTAGCCCATTTCACTTAGTACTGTTCACTCTTAATGGCAGCCATAGTTTCTGGTAGTGTTCTACCCCAGCCTTGACTGAAGTGTGTGGATATGTGCGTTTTTGAGCTATAACTCCAAGAATTCCCCAGAAACCTTGGTCACTGCCATGCTATCTGGGGAAATCTCTGTGTTCTAGTCTAAAACACAATCATGCCACCTTTTGTTGGGGATTAAACAGGGCTTTTGGCACACCATGCATATGCTCCACCACTGAGCTACAGCACCTTTCATTACCTGTCCTTTTCCTTCCTTCTGTCCAAATATTTACATCATTTCTGCTTATACATGTTTCTTCCCTTGCTAAATTATGTAACAAGAGTACACATGGCTTTGTTTTTGTTTTTTATTTGACCAGAAAACCATACTAGTGAAGAAGGTAAGAAGAAGCAGTACAGTGTGACTCCGAAACCACCGCTTCTGAGGTCGGGGGGGGCGGGGGGAGAGAGACACTGTATGGCAATCCTTTGCTAGTCTCATATTTCCAATTCAGAGAGACCCCAAATATTACCATAATGGCATAAAAACTGGTTGGCAGGCAGCAATCCCTTTGACACAGGCATGCTTCACCTGCTCACATGTATGATGACCAGTCAATTCCGATTCAGCTATTATCAGGGTAAACTGAGAACATGGAGAAATGTACGGTAACTACAATGATGTGGCAAAATCTGCTGTTTGATCATTAACAAATGGCTCTAACAGTGGTTGTTGTGGGTTTTCAAGGCTGTTTGGCTCTGTTCTTAAGATTTTTCTTCCTAAAGTTTTGCCAGTTTCTGTGCCAGCATCTTCAGAGGACAGGAGTCAGAACTCTGTCTGTGCTCTGTTACAGTTTGTTGGACAGTTGAGTATTTATAGCTGTGGGATCGGTTTTTGTCCTGTTCAGGAGTGGGCGATTATGGTGATCAGCGTGTTTTTGTTGTGGATGTATTGTTGTGATAAGGGGGGGAGATGATCTGTCACTGCGTTTGATGGGTGTCCTTAGCTAGTCTTTTGTGCGCAGTGATCACTGGTCTTTGTGGCTGGATAGAGTTCTTTGACCTTTTGCAGGCTGTATTTTTCAGTGCTGGGAGCCAAGCTTTGTTGAGTTTTAAACTTTCTTCTTTTTTGTTGAAGTTCTGCTGTTTGTGGATTTCAATGGCTTCCCTGTGCAGTCTAACATAATGATTGCTGGTGTTGTCCAATACTTCAGTATTTTGAAATAGAATTTCATTCCAGCTTGTTTTTGGGCATCTTCAGCTACTGCCGATTTTTTCAGTTGTTTTAGTCTCATGTTCTTTGATTCTGATGTGAATGCTGCGTTTTGTGGTTCCAATATATACCTGGTCACAACTGCAAGGTATCCAGTATACTCCTGCAGTGGTGAAGGGGTCCCTTTTGTCCTTTGCTGACCATAACGTTTGTTGTATTTTTGTGGTGAGCCTGAATACTGTTTGAAGGTTGTGTTTTTTCAAAAGTTTCCCCATGCGGTTCATGACCCCTTTGATGTATGGCAGAAATACTTTATTTGTGGGTGGCTGTTTCTTCCCTTCAGTTTGGCATTGTTTTCTTGGTTTGATGGGTCTTGTGATTTCATTCTTGGAATATCCATTTGCCTGTAGGTCCCAATTCATATGGTTGAGTTTGGTGCTGAGAAATTGAGCATCACAGTTCGGATTTGCACGGTCTACCAGTGTTTTGATTATGCCTCTTTTTTTGTCATGGGTGGTGGTTGGAGTTTTTGTGTAGGTACCAGTCTGTGTGAGTGGGTTTTCTGTAGACCTTGTGTCCCAATAGGCCTGTTTTGCGTATTACCATGACATCTAAGAAAGGAAGTTGGCCCTCTTATTTCTTTTTCCATGGTGAATTGTATACAGTGGTGCCTCACTTGAAGATGAAAATCCGTTCCAGCAAAATTGCTGTAGAACGAAATCGTCGTCAAGCGAAAGTAAAAAACCCATTGAAATGCACTGAAAACCGGTTCAATGCGTTCCAATGGGCGAAATGCCTCATCGTGAAGATCCTCCATAGGGCGCCCATTTTCCAGTGCCTGTTAAGCGAGGAATCAGTCCTAAACACAGCGGGGGGCCATTTTGCACAGTGGGTGGCCATTTTGAGAGCCGCCGATCAGCTGTTTTAAAATCATCGTTTAGCAAAGAATCGGTTCCCAAAGCACGGAACCGATCATCATAAAGTGAATTTTCCCCATTTAAACATTGTTTTGCAATTGCAAAAACCTCATCGTAAAGCGGATTCATCATTGAGCGGGGTAATCGTCAAGCGGGCACCACTGTATTTGGGTGGATGCTGTTGAAATAGTTTAGAAATTCTTCCAGTTTTTCTTCACCGTGGTTCCAAATTGCAATGGTGTCATCCACATATCGGAACCAGACTGGGTGCGAAGGGTACCAAAACCAGGGCCTGTTTTTCGAAGTGTAGAAGTTTGCTATAACTGGGCTGAGGGGGCTCTCCATGGCCACTCCATCTGTCCATTCATAGAACTCATTATCCTACTGAAAGTAGCTGGCCGTTTTGGAAAAGGGGCCTTGATGTCTTCTGGAAAGATCTGCTGGAGGAGTGTCAAAGTGTCCTTTATCAGTACAGTACCTTGCTGAATAGGGATACTACGTCAAAGCTGATCAGTCTGTCCCCAGGGTTGAGTTTTAGGGTGCTGATCTTGCTTATGAAATGACCTGAGTCTTTGATGCAGGATGAGGTTTGTCCAATGTGAGTCTGTAGGAGGGTGGCTAGTTCCAACAGTTCTTAGTCATTTATTACACTATGATTTACAAGAAAGCCCACATTAGCCCTTAAACCAATTCTTATCTACATTTCTCCAAGACCTGTAAGTGCCTTTAATATCTTCTCTTAACGTTCACTTTTTTTCTTTTGGTTCCCAGACATAGGCAGCAGTCCGACGGTGCCCTGGTGATCAGTCGTATTGCAGCTGAAGATGCTGGCTTCTTCACATGTATTGCTTCCAATGGTCGGGATGAGGATCAAAGGAGAGTCCAGATCAGACCTAGAGGTACTAAAGAAGCTGGAAGGGAAGCATTGTTTTGAAATTAATGGGCTGCTAGAATGAAGAAGATAAAGGAAGAGCATCAGTTCTCACAGTATTAAGGAGTTTAATTCCCCACTGTGCCTTTTAGGAAAAGAGCTAGCCTGTGTAGCTATGGGCAAGCTGCATAGTCCCAACACCCTCCCCCAAAAGAAGGGAATGGTAAACCACTTCTGAGTACTTTAGTACTAAGAAGCCCTGGAAAGGGTCATCATAGGTCAAAATCAATGGCATATAATTTGTATTCTTTAAATGAAGCATCGTGTCAATGCTAACCACCAGATGCATTTGCCAAATGATCCAAAATGAACCACTCACACGAACACAGCTGGCCCTGTACTGTTCTGTCTTAAGCAGCCATAGGTGTGAATGGCTGATTCTGTGATCAGCTTCATCAGTAGAACATTTGAAGCCACCAACATGACTACTAAATATCAGAATATTAGCATGTCAGTACAAAGCAACAGAGAAGGGGATAACAGAGGACAAGATGGTTAGACAGTGTTACCAAAACTACCAACATGAATTTGACCCAACTCCTGGAGGCAGTGGAAGACAGGAGGGCCTGGTGTGCTCTGGTCCATGGGGTCAGGAAGAGTCGGACACGACTTAACGACTAGACAACACAAAGCAACAAGCCTTACTTAGCTAACTGGAGCAAGGATAGGCAGCTTGTGACCCTCCCACCACCAGTACCCATACTCCTGTCCAAACATTTTTGGAAAAACATTGAGGCTCAAAAAGTACTCTTGCACCAGAGGCAACTCTGCCATGTTTTCTAGTAGCCACCAGCACCTTGGGGCCTTTCGCAGCCACATAAGGGAGTACAAAGCTGTCTTTTTCAGTAAAAAAAACTCAAAATCAGCTTTGGGAGAAAAATTTGGGGAGACTGAGCCCACCCAGCTCCAGGGATGTGTGTTTGTGGTTCCTGGACTCTGGAAATTGCCCTCCCCCCAGTTTACGATCATCCAGAAAGTATAGTTCTGCCAGCATGAAGGTATGTAAAAAGTATGTAGATTGGGGATGGTAGCTGAGCCAATTTCAATTTGGTTTAAATCTCTAATAATTATGTCCTCCTTGGAGCAAGAGAACAGTGTGACTTAAGAACAACTACTTCTGTGACCAAACGAGCTGTGGGAATTTTTCTTGCCAAGATGTAAGTTCTTTATGCTTGCTGCTCGAGGAAAGCCATGAAAAGAGAGGAACTTAACTATAGGTTGATAGTTACATCATTACGTTCTCTGGACAAAGGCTCCTATTGTGGAAAGTAATGTCGAGATTTGTTTCCCACACTTTACAGGAGGCTAGTGTCCAGCTAGAGAGGCCAAGTTCATACAAGCAATAGTTGGGTTGTTAAAAAGTCAGTGCTCTGTATTCACAGCATCGTTCCGGCACCCTGGGCAGAATTTTCCTAGGACTGACAATGCCCTTTTCCTCCTCAGGAGAGTTGAGAATCACTGGCCTGCTGCCCAGCCTTTCTATGTTGGAGGGTGAAAATGCTCGGCTTCACTGTGTTGTGACAGGCACCAATGTGAACATCAGATGGTCAAGGTAAAGGAAAACACACGAGGCAGTGTTTACTTTTCAATACCGTGAAGAAGTAGGCAGTTACCATCTAAAAACTGGTAACCATAAGAGCAGGCTGAATAATTTTCATTGTTTAATCCTAACCAACTCATGAGAACGTGTTGTTTAGAAGGCTCTCTGCATTTGTGCATGTGTATAGTGTTATAAGTTTCTATTCCTTCTGCTATATAAGCAGTGCATGAGATGAGACAATTTTTAAGAACGGGATAATAAAGAAACATATTTCTGCTCAGGAATGGGGTCCCTGTGAGAGCAGATGGCCACCATGTCCAGATGTCTCAAGATGGAACTCTGATTCTAAACAACGTGCAGATCAGTGATGAAGGGTCCTACACCTGCAATGCTTACACTGGCAATAATTCTGTCAGTGCCAGTACAGATTTCAAGGTTATCAGGAAGAGGCCAGAAGGTGGGTGTGCTCTGTGTCTTTCTGCCCAAGATCCCAAGCCCTTGCTTTTAGAATCAGTCAAGATTTGCTGCTACAAAGATGAAGTGTGGAAAAGTCAAATTCAAAACTAGTGGAATCTAAGCAATTTTTATTCATGAAACTTATGTCTGAGTTCAGTATAGGAGTATGAGTATAGTACTTCAGCCTTAATATAATTTTAGTTATTAAAAAATAAAGCTTTTAAATTAACAGCTAATTTCACTCTAAGAGATGCTGCTTAAACTGTAATTGATCTTAAAGAGAATAGCAACTATCCTGTAATTTAGACTTCAACACCATCTAAGGCCACACTGGTCAGTGTTTGGCCCTCCATATGTTTAGTAAAGTTCAGAAGCCCTAGCCAGCAAGACCAGTGGCCAAGGATTTTGGGATTCACATCCAAATCATCTGGAGTGCTAAATGTTGAGAATCACTAATCTGGAAGTAGTTTATAACTGAAGATCATAATTATTCCCTCAAACTTTACTTCTGCTTTCCCATTTCTGTACTTGGATATCTTTAAAACCACATGTTTCACACAAAAAACATATTGACTGGCTTATAGGACGACGCAGACTGTATGTGGTGCACTTGGTGGAATCTGCTTCATTCCATAAATGCACAATGCTTATTTCCAGGAAATAATCTCAGCTGTTTGTAAAAGGAAGCCTGTTTGCCAGCTGTGTTCTTTCTCACTTCTATCTTCTTCTTTCTCCTCCTTCAGTATCTGCAGCTCTCCCTAGAGACCCAGGCAGGGAATGTGTTGACCAACCACATCTTGCCAACTGTGACCTGATTCTACAGGCCCAGCTCTGTGGGAATGAGTATTACTCTAGTTTCTGCTGTGCTAGCTGTTTACGCCACCACGGCTGACCTTCTGCCTTCCCCTCCATGTAATGCTGCTTAAGAAGAAAGAAGTCTATTGCCCAGAATGGTGACTTCTAAGGAAGCAAAGATTTATTTACTCAGGAACATAAACTGGACAGTCAGTATGACAGCAGAGAGAACAGTTGGCATTACTCAGTTCTCCAACTTCCAAAGCTTCTGTAACATTTCGCAACCAAAAACATATGACTTTTTCCTAACAGCCAGCTGACCTGCCAACATGTACGGAAACAGCAATATGAGCAAGTGTCAAAAGCAGGCCAAAAATGTCTACAATGATGGTTATACTCAACTTTTAAATAAACATAAACATAAATTGAGCCAGACCATTGCCTTTTACAAAGGGGGGGAGACCTGTTGGCCACATTTCTCTGAAAACTGACATACTTCCAGTCTTTTCCCTATATGGTTATTCCACGTGTCCCATATCCCCTCAGAGCTAGTTAGCTTTCAAGAGTTACAGACAGACAAATGAATTTGTCCTATAACAGAAGCAGACTACTACTGTACTAATGAAACAGTCTTAGCAGCAGAGTGGTTAACGCAAGAATTAGTTGTAACTGTGGGGGGTTTAATAAGTTGCTAAGGAGAAAATATCACAGGAATTTAGGTAGCGACTTGCACTTTAGATACTCTTAGGAAGGCTACAATTTTATGGCCATCTTAATGCAAGTAAACACAACTAAACACTGGGTCTTACTTCCACACAGACACACTTTCAACTGTTGTAGAAGTCTCCTAAATAAAAAGAAAAAAACAAGAATGACTGCATAACTTCTTCAAGATTCTGCAAATACATGACTACCACTGTGTGAGGATTCCCTACTTGTGGCTACTAAGCTGATGCCTCAGAATTATGGCAGACTTTGTTTATCCTCAGGTTAATCTTTGTCAGATATGCTTAATACTGTAGATGCCTATCAATGGCAAACATGTTCATAAAAAGAATGCAAAGCTGGCAATTTAACTGATACATTATGAACACATTTTAGTGATGGTGTCAGGATGCAACATAAATTTCAAATCAAGTGCAGAAGGAAACAAAATACCACACATTTTGGATGAGGGGGATTCAAAAACTGTGTGTAAGGAATGGGAGAAATGCAATTCTTAATCTTATAAGGACAGAAGAAATGGCTTCTAAACCTCCTGCTTTCTGGGTGAAGTTTTATAACTGAACAAACTGTTACCATAGTTTCCAACCTACTACTACAGACACCACTAAAGATAAAGCCAAGATTCATAACACAAGAGTTCTGTTTGCTGACTTTCACAGAGCCCTTCCTATCAGTCCAGTAGTTTTGTTACTCAACAGTGTGCAAAGAAGGGAAGCACAATACAACAAGCCACTAATAAATCTTCAGGTTATGGCTGCCATGGCAACTACATAAAAGGCTCCTAGGTTAAAGATTCCTCCTGCAGTCTGATCTTGGGCTGAACTACTGTACAAGGGAAGGGAAGGAGGAACCCCTACATGGTTTACACATGTGTCAGCATGATGAATTGGGACACCCCCCAACAGGTTACCTGAAAATTTTCCACCAAGTATTGCCTTAAACTTCCATGACACAAACAAGCGCCTATACAGGCCCTTCCATGTACAGTATTTGTATTATATTGATTTGTATTGCACACTACGGAGCAGAGTTCTAAGGTCACTGAATTAATCTGTGACCTACTGTAATTGCATTCATGCAGAAACAGCTGCCTTTTACACAAAATATTCTGGTGAGAAAGCCAGTTCCCACATTTAAAACGTAAGGGGCATACACTTTTACTCTGATGGAAAACAACTGTGTAGTGTGGAAAGGTTCATAAAATCAACTACTCAAACATAAGAGAGAAACCTAAGCCCCCCCCCCCAGATTACAAGTATACCAATACAGTACCTATCTCTTATGTTTAGACAAGACATAAATTGTATCAACTACTGTATATAACAACCAAATATAGTAACTAGTTAGAAAACTATGCTGGGATTTTTTTTATCATTTAAAGCTGTAATTGAAACAGTGTTTAGTACAGTAAAGGTTACACAACGAGCTTTTTTATGATACACTGAACATGTAAATAGAATCAGCATCCATGAATGTACACATATAAAATACATCACCATGCAATTCTGTGATTTTAAAATATCTCTTGAAGGCAAGCCCAGTTTGAAACCCAGTAGACACTGCAAAATTATAAAGCTGTTTAATCAGCCATAGGAAAAAATGAAAGTAAAGTTTACTGATATCCACACCCTACCACCAATTTCATAACTGGCCTCTGTTCTCAACATTATCCAAATATCCAATGATAGTAACATCAGAAGAACTACTGGAGTACACTTTATAAATTGCTCATTTAAAAAAAAATACAGCACAACAGTCCAGCTAATGTTTAGGTACCTCAAACAGCACAGTATCATCTTGTGCTAAATACAAAACATACAAAAATCATAGAATCATTGAGTTGGAAAGGGCCTATAATACCATTCAGTCAAGCCCCCTGCTCAGTGCAGGAATCCAAATCAAAGCAGATCTGACAAATGATTGTCCAACTTTCTCTTGAATGCCTCTGGGGAACACTCACTACCTCCCGAGGTAATTGGTTCCAATGTTGTTCTGCTCTAACACTTTGGAAGTTTTTCCTGATATTCAGCCAAAATCTAGCTTCTTGTAACTTGAGCCCATTATTACGTCTGCTGCATTCTGAGTTGATCAAGAACAGAACCTGCCCTTCCTCTATATGACAATCTTTCAAGTATTTGAGAAGTGCTATCATATCTTCCCTCAGTTTTAGATATTGCCAACAGTCCCATTCAACACTTCCACATGATAAGAAGTCCTGATTTTTCAGGGTTTCCAAACATGTTGATGCTTCAGAGACAGGGCTAACCTGTTTCCTCTACCCACAAGTTAGGAATCTAACCTTTTTATTGAACATCTGAAAAGGGTTTTAGAAAGATCATTCACAGCACTCAAAAATGTTAATAAGGGCAGGTAAGTTCTAAAGGTCTGAATTCTTGCTTTAAGCAACATTCATCTTACAAAATGCAAATAGGAGCATATGTTCTACAACAGATTTATCAAACATGTACTAGATGACTCTAAGTTCAAAGAAGAGCAGAAATCAGGAAAAGGACAAGGATGCCTTCTGAGAAAGCCACAACTACTACCAACATTTATTTCTGTTAAAGCAGATTATAAATCATCAGTACAAATATATAACTTACATTTGCTTGTAAGGCCAGGTTTTAAGAGTAAAATAAAAAATGAGATGGATTTCATGGTTTATCAGAGGAAGAATATTGGAACAGCTGCAGTCTAGCTACAAGCTTTCACATAGAACAATGAGGAGAAAGGCTTTTTAAAAAATCTGAAATCTATTTAATGCACATAAAATGGGTTTGGAAATAGATCTGATTGTACATTTGATTACATTTGTCACAGTATTGTTAAAAGAGATTTAAGACAAAGAAAACTGCAGTGGTACATGAAAGAACCTATGTATACTCTTACATCTAGGTTGATCTCTTTTTAATAAAGAAAGAATTTACCAAATGTTTTCAAACCAAGACAATACTGCTCGAAAACTACTCTACAGTGATTCTTTTTATTGGTCATGATTCATGATTGTTGTTGCAGTATGCTACTTACAATGAACATACAAGAACAAACTAAGAACTCTGCTTCCCACCTACTCCATTGCTACTGACCATCAGAATCAGTAATAAATCAATCTTATGTACAATTTTACATCCAGTCCCCTTTTATAACTTTGGCAAGATTACTTACAACTCAGTCAGCTTTTAATATCTAGAACTATTTAAAATAATCTAAAATGCATAAAAATAAAGATTTTGGCTTTATTTTATATATAATAATCATTGTATTACTCAAAATGGAAGCTCATCCTTTTCCATGGACAACATATGCTGAGCAGCTCTCACATTTTCCCTTCAGCCCCTTTGCAACTGTGCCACTATCCCCATTACTCTGTTCTTCCTCACAGGGGAATAGGTCATTCACAGGAAATACAGATACACTATAAAGATAGTTACATCATTTTCATTGTCTTATGAAGTCTTCTGAAGTTCTTGTGGAAAAAGGGCTTCAGGGTTAACTTCCCATCTTCAGCCCTTTTGAAGTTTCCTTTGCCACTCAAGTTCCCAGGAAAGAAGGCAGGTGGTACAGGTTACATTTCCTAGATTGTTTCCCTATTGCTCTGGATCTGGGAATCTCTCCCCTCCCCCCACCCATGATTGTTCCCTCTCTGCATGCTCACTCCAATTCCCTTGGGACATCAGCACTGACAGCACTGCCTGTAAGTCCCCTCTGCCTTGTTTTTCCATACATCCACTCCCAACACACAGACATACAGACTAAGTACAAGCCAGAGGGTTGCTTAAAGTTCAATCTCAAAAGTCTTCTGTAATTCGCTTGAAAAAGGATTAGTTGGGGATGGGTTAGTGCGCTGCTTTGATTTGTTCTCCAGTGCAGCCCACTGTGCTTCAAATGGATCAACCTGTTGGCCAGGTACAGGTGGCAATACTTGCTTGTCCTCCATGGGCCATTTGGCACTGTCCACACCATTGAAAGCAGCTGAGCCATTGAGCTGTTGGGCAGGAGGTTTAAAGAAAGGGCTGGCAGTAGCACTGTTAGTTTCATACTGAGGGAATGTTTGTTGCTTTATAAGACTAGGTGACTGTTGAGAGTGGGATACTTGAGTGTGGCCTGCAGTGCCAAAGACATTAGCTACCATCTGGGAAGGGGTAATTCCAACCACCGGCACACTGGGAGCCGAGTAGGGCATGCCGTTTGCTACAGCATATTGCTGAGCTGGGAGAAATGCAGGCTGCATGGGTTGTACAACACCAACAGGCACTGGTTGAGGTGTAATGAAGGTATTGACTGGGAAAGTTGGTGCTGCCTGAGAAACTGTAGCCGGAGGTTGGAGGAGTGGCTGAACAGCTGGAGGTTGTGGTTGTGGCTGCTGCGACCGGACAGTTTTGGACACCTCTTCCAGCCAACGATCTGCCTCTGAAGGAGTGCGCCTATGGTTTGCTTGGAACAGATTTGGTGAGGCAGCTCCTGAGTTAGCATTCCATTCAGTACCTGTGAAGAGAAATCAGAGTAAAATCTCAGAAAGCTGTACTCTTTATCCTGTTTCTAATTGCTGCTCTGATAAGGGATCCAGCAGAATCCCTAAAACAGCTTAAACATAACTGGGTGAGGATTGTCAGTTCTGGATAAGGAGTCAAGATCAATATTCCATTACTGTAGTTAATTAGAGAAGATCTGATTAACTGAATAAAAGCAAAACTAAATATTGACCAACATCATGCCTAAATAAAGGTTTTTGAAATGGAACTAAACATTGTAAGTGGAAGAGAAGATGCTATATGAACTTTTCTAAAAAATTAGCTCTTCATTCTAAAAGCTCAGTAAAGATGTGGCAACTAGACTACAGGCATGTCAGTATCGTGTTTTCCCGAAAATAAGACAGGGTCTTATATTAATTTTTGCTCCAAAATGAATTAGGGTTTATTTTCAGGGGATGTTTTATCTTACAGTCATGTTATCTTCTGGTTGCTGCACAATGCTGCACAATGGTGGAGGATGGGGTTTCACTTAACTGGGGCTTATTTTTGGGCTAGGTCTTACATTACAAGCATCCTGAAAAATCATACTAGGACTTATTTTCAGGTTAGGTCTTATCTCCCGGGAAACAGGGTATATAGGATAATCTTCTCAGGCAATGGGAAATACACAGGTTGCAGTTTGGAACTGGAAACCAGTCATGTGCCCTGTTGAATTACCAGATCACAGCATTGATTATATCTGTCATCTGCAACATTCCCATGTGTTCAACCACACAAAACTCACAATTTGCAAATAAATAAATAAAAACTAGTTTGAAACTGTACTTACTGACAGCTTGTTGTTTTCATTCCTTCCCTTCTTTCAGTTCTACTCTTTTCTTACTCTTTCTACGCAATTCAGTCTGTTAACCTCTCTCTAATTGTTCTGTAATATTCAATACTTAACATTTTAGTTTACTTCTATTCACTTTCCATTTCAATTTAATGCATTTTCTTCTAGACCCTGTCTAAACCCCATCATCTCACTTATCTAATGTTTTCCCTACTCCTTCTTTGTTCTTTGCATCGGAAATAGCATATTACTACCTTGCTTCCTCAATATCCTCTTACTTAAAGCAAATATTTGCTGTTTGGAATGAAGCTGGTGGATATTTTCTCCCAAACAAAACCAAAGTCCACTAGTACAGCACAGAGGTTCCCAATTAAAATCCCAATTTTAATTTCTCCCTTCTGATTATAGTCCCTTAGGAAGCACTGTAGGGAAAGTAGATGTTAAACATGGCAAGAAGCATATCTGGCCAGAAGTATGCTGTGTATAACGCTGCTCTTCATAAGAGTATCTCAGACAGCTATTCAGATTATTTGGCACCATATGGGGATATTAATTTGGTTTGACCCAGGCCTTAACATATACCCACCACTAGCCCTCCTATTTTGCCTTAGTCCTTGGCAGATGAAGACTGAAGAGGAAAGAGGAGCTGTACTATGTTTGGAGCAGGCAGAAGCATCACAAAGTCTCAAACTGCTGCTGGATGCTCCAAAACAGCCACAGCCCTCCTCTAATGTGTGCAAGGTGTCATAATGTACTGAACTTTGGCTACCAGAATTTTTTGCTGCTCAAAGCACAGAGTGGAATAAGGGGTCCTCCTATAGTTCTTTGTAGTTGTGGGAACTTAAGGGAACAGCTATCTATGCTACTGGACATAGAAATCTGAGCATGTTACTCAGTCAGGAGATCTGGACTCAGGACAAACAGAACTGTGGCATACATACAAGTGCTTTCCAGTGTATCATGAAAAGGGGTATGTATATGTTAAAACATCCACATACATGTGCCCAAACCCTCCTGGACCAAATACACAATTGCATATATCAGCCAAACTCAGCAAGAAGAACTAGTCTGTAGTGCATTAATTCAATGAATAGATAGAAGTGTCTCTCTAAAAAGTATGTAGATTTTAGAAATGTGCATGTACAAGTCACTAAAACGTCCTATAACTGGATTCTCTTTTAATTTATTCTAGTTTTGTCACAGTATTTACATATTTTTTTAAAAAAAGAATGTTACAGAATGCTTAGTAGATTGAACCAGCATCACAAGTTTCAACCCTCTAAAACCAACACACAGGACCTGTGTCTAGTCTTACCAGAAAGAGCAGCTACAGCTCCAGTTTTAGCGGCAGCTGGAGCAGCAGGGGCATGAGCCCAAGGATTGGTTTCACGAACTGGTATTGCTGTGGGTGCTACAGTAGTTTGAGCTGGTTTAGCAGCAAGCACATTGAAGGCAGAGGCAGTGCCATTAACTAAAATGGGAGCAGACAACATCAATGCTGTTAATTCATGCAAGGCATGCAGGTGACTGGGAAGTTAAATGCATGGTTTGTGCCAACATGCAACACACAACAACTTGCTTACTATTTCAATGCTAATCTACAGACATTTTCCACAGCCCCTTTGATTCACTCAGTGTTTTACAATGATGATTTTTGTAAGAGAATGGGGTGATTTTCCTCTAGCATTTTAGCAGAATGTAACATCTTTTACACACAACTGTAACTCAGTTTTCTTTGAGACAGTTACACCACTTCCTATGACTGGAAAATCAAAGCCAGAATTACACTGTATTCATGTTCCCAGTAAAAGCCAAAGGATGTGAAGTTTGTGCTCCGTACATGTTTAATGGAAAGTATGGCTTGAACTGGGAGGTGCTACAATGACTTAAGAATCATATACCTAAATCTAACATTCTGATCAAATTTGACCTTTTAATCAAAACCCATTGAGAATACTACATATCTGAAAAATCAGGTCTCAGGTTATTTTGCTTAGAGCAACAAGACACTAAATACACAAAGTGTGTGACCTAATATTAAGTCTTAGAACCCATTTTGCTTCAACTCAAAGGCCAGTATCCCATTTTAAAAAGAACCTGAACGCCCTAGCATTCTATCAATGTATGAAAAATATGCCTTGTATTTCTACAAAATGGTCCTTATAATGTGTGCATGGTTAAGTAGTTTGCTTGGATTTTCATCTTTTCAGAAGTTAACACAGCAACTACAAGCATATAAATGAGTTAAAATTGAATAACCTCAAATGGAAACAAAGCAGGTGAAAGGCAATCTGAGAAATTAACACAGTGACACAAAAGGAAAGCAGCACTGCACAAGTGACAAGCATGGCAAATACATCCACATTTAGAGAGGACATACCTTGGAAAGCAGGAGACTGCGGTGCAACCGTAGTGACTGGTTTTGTCATAGGGGCAGAGGAGAAAGGGTCCTCTGATGGCGTGCTAAATGCATTTGTAATCTGGGAGCATAGGGAACTAATGCTATCCACCTCTCCTTCAACTTCAGGAACTGAAAGAAAGAACACAAACTGCACAGATATGCAGGTACCCTAACATAGTTCATCTCATCTCTGCACTTCTGCAGCTGTTTTTATGCAAAACTACCTCAGCTATCACAAAAATTAATTCACAAGGATGTAAGAGAGACAGGTAAAAACCAAAAACCTAGGAAATAATCAATGTTTCCCTGAGAGATGGGCACCCACCTTTAAAAAGGCTGTAGCTTAGCCACTTCAGAAGAAGCCAAGGCTACATTCTGAAGACTTTCGTAGTTTTAGACAAGTGGCCAATCTTCCTTTTTTGGACAAGGCAATTAAGTGTGTGACTGCTGATCTATTCTAGGTATATCAATATGATACTGACTGTGTAGCTGTTGTTATTATGTGCTGTCAAGCTGCATCTTAGAGAGACCCTAATAGGGTTTTTAAGGCATGTGAGATACGTAAGGAATAGTATGCCAGTGCCACTCCTCAGTGAGTTTCCATGGCTGAGCAGGAATTTGAACCCAGACCACCTGAGTCCTAGTCCTAGTCACTATCCACTACACCACACGGGTTAGATATGTATCCATTTTAAATTAGGTCTTTCAACTGGTTTTGTTGTAGACTGTCTTGGTTTCCCTATAGAAAAACCTCTGCTGGGAAAGAGATGGGGACATTATGCTCCTCTTGGTGCTCCTGGACCTCTCAGAGCCTTCCCATACCATAAGTCATACCATTCTTTCTGTGAAGGCTGAACTGAGAGTTGGAGTCACTGTATTACAGTGGCTCTACTCTTATTTCAAAGATCAACAGACCAAGAACTGTTGTTATTCTCTCTGGAAACTCCACTGTGGTGCACCTCATATCTCTGTTCTATCTCCTTGGCTTTTTAAAATCCTCATGAAACTTCTCAGGAAAGACATCTAGACGAATGTACTGAGGTGCCATCAGTATGCAAATGTCATCTCTTTCTTTATACCACATAGAGGTAGGCACAACTTATCCTAAATCAGTGCTTGAGTTCTGTATGGGCTAGATGCAGGCAGAGACTAAATCCAGACAAGAAAGAAATGCTGTCCGTAGGTGGTTCATCTGCTTAGCTAAGTGGTGCTCATCCAGCTCTAGATGGGGTTCCACTACTCAGGAAGGAGGCACATCCACAGTCTATAAATGCTTATATATCCGATTTGCCACTTGAATCCCAAATTGCCTCAGTAGCAAACAATGCCTATTATGAGCTTTGGCTACAGCTCTGAGTGCATCTGGACTGAATGTGGAGTTGCATTTGCCCCCATGCACTCATAATCTCCTGCCTCGGCTATACTTACCAATCAGTTTAGAGGCCTGCTTCAGAGTGTTGGTGGGAAAACCCCACTTACAATGGCACAATGGATGATTTCCAGAGAAAGAGCCTTCTCAGTATTGCCCCCCCACCCCAGCAACTTACAGAAAGCTCTTCTAAGACAAATCCATCTGGCACCTTCCTTAGTAGCATTCAGATGGTAGGCAAAGGCTTTCCTCTTCTGCAAGGCATTCAGCACTTTATAGTTTTATCTCTGGCTATCATATTCTTATCCTTTAACATTTAGAAGCCATTTCTGCTCATTTATTTGTCTTTACTGTAAATCCTATGATTTTATTGATTGCTTTTGCTGTTTATCCCCTTTTGGGCATTGCCACTTGTGTGGTAGATAAATGTTTTAAATGAGTAAGATCAAGAGATAATAGGAGACATGGAAGGAGCAAAGAGGAGATAATCAGATCAACATTATTTCTGCTACAGCAGACTTTCTCTAATGTACAAACTGAGTGATCATAGCATAACAACTGCACAACACTTAAAAAGGAAGGAAATTGGGTCTTACCAGAGTTTTTCATGGGGAAGTCAGTCTTCCTCTGCACTGTTGAAGGCAACTCATTAATTCGCAGAGAGAGCTGGCGTTTAAATGGGGACATCTTCTGGCTAAGAGCAGGGAAACCTCTGAAGGAGCCTTGCCTGGCAAGTTGCTCTATAGGGGCATGTCTTCGTGGGATGGCATGAGGATTATTTGATTCTTTGTCAACCGAGGCAAGAGCATCAGCAGAAGGAGAGGTTGGGGAACTTGGGGATGGGGCTGTATTGCCGGGTACAACACTTGAAGCAACTGTTTTCACATCTGTTTCAACTGTGAAAGAAAAGAATCAGTTAATCATATCAGGTAAGGCATTTTTCTAGCAGGGCAAACATTAGTATGCCTGTGAAATGTTCATTTTGGTGCTTTAAAACCATCTCACAACTTTATGTGGTACTGAGTTTGAGAAAAACCAAACCAGAACACTTGCCTGATCCCTTTTTAGATAACTGCTGGGGGAAAGAGTAATGCTGTTTAGCCATTTGTCTGTTCCCGTGACACAAATTATACGGCCTTCAAAATTTCATACAAAAAATATGCTAAGTCACAAATCCAATAGCCAAAACCCAGGTGCACAATGAGACAAAGTTATATACACCCCAAACTGAAACATGTAAGTCTTTAAGCAATGGCAATCTGCCCCTATCATTCCTTTTGTGCAAATGTATCCTGCTTGCTTGCTCACTTGCTTTCAATTTATACACTGCCCCATCAGTGCAAGCACTACACCAGGCAGTTTACACATGATTAAAACTTAAAGTAATCCACAACAACAACAAATACGTTCAAAAGCAATATGGCGATACAATGAACTGTAATTATAACCATGAAAGTGATTAATCCTATCCAAATTGAAAATTAATTTTTAAAAAGCTGTTTTGTAAATATGGATTTAAATACTAGATAGCTAACTACAGAAATTAATTTGGTATGGGCTTACTACGTACTTTCCTAAAAGAAGAGTGAGGCCTAAATATTGTTTTGGGATCTATGTATTCCATTCTTAACAAATTAGAGAGATTGTTACTATTTCTTCAAGATTAACAATTCCTCAAGACTAGACCACAATATCTGAAGACAGTATTGGATAAATCATGCTAACGCATACATAATCATGTTCAAAAATATGGCAACTTACATAGATACTAATTTTTCCTGCAAACGAATACACAGCATCTGCAAACACTAGTTTTAACTCTCTCTCTCTCTCTCTTTTTTTTTTGGAAGTAATGTGAGAGCCCTGATAATGTTTTAGGTTCAAAACATCATGATGTTCAAAAACAGAGCTGTATGTTCATGTCTTATTCTAATTTCTTTTATTATTTTGAACTCTAGTTTTCAAATCATCACCTTCTTTTCCGGCTCTAAGTCTACATGATTCTTATGCACAACTGGCAGACAGCTGTTCTGGTCCATGTGAAAAGAATTCCAACATCTGTGTGTTGCTCAAACCAAACAAAATATTATAAAAGAGTGAACAAGGCTTCAAGCTCCCTATAACTCTTAATTAGACTAGATAATGCAAAAAGCAGTAACTGGCCCTGGGGATAGGCATACAACAAACAGTAAGCCAGATATTGTAGCCATGAAGTCTGTATTTTAGAATCATTCTCAAGATGGAGTTCCAAGACTAAATTAGTCACTGCTAGGTGCTGTATGTACCAGACTACATCTAACATTCTGAGATAAAGGAGCATGAGTTGATCCTATTTCTTTTTTAAACAAGCCTGACTGTTACTGAGATCTGTCTCCAGCTTTGCCCAAAAGAGACAGAATCCTGAATAGAAAGAAGAATGACTGTAAAGAGAAATAACAATGTTGATATTAACAATTTTAAAATACCAGAGCCAGTTCTACAGTGGTGTAATACTTTGAGATACAAAGCATGCAAGAAAGTTGTGCCATAATGGATTTATCTGGCGCTAGGCTTCATCATGGTGATATTTAATACAGCACATGAACAAGGGCAAAATTACTGTGCTCTGTGTGTTATTTTGCAAGTGAAATGGTTCCTTGAAAAAGTGCTCAATTCACAACAAAGCAGTCTATCTGCCAAATGAGTAGGCTAGTGTTCTATTACCTTTAGTGTCTTGTGTCTGTCTCATGACTTCCTCTCTTTCTGCTTGTTCAGTTGCTGTAGTAACCCTGAAAGATCCCTCTCTTGTGAATGTGGTTCTACTGGCATCAAAGGTAGCAGTCACTCCACACTCTTTCTCTCTCTTTTGCTTTCGCTCCAGGCAAGCTGCAAATGCACAGCCAACTGCATGACTCAACCTTTCTCCCTGGAAAGATATTGCGTCAATTAGAACAGGAACAGAACCATATTTCTAAACCCTGCCAAAATGATTGCTGGCACACAATACAAACATTTGTGGCAATAGCATCAAGAATATTCAGAGGAAGTACCACAAAAGTCATAAAGCGTACTATTTACCATTTGAAGAGAAAGAAAGTCTAACTGACTATACAGATTTTTTTTTAGCTAATGAGTATTGAGATGGTCAGGTAGCTCATTCTAAAATACTGATGCTGTCAGAAATGTAGCCATGAAGTCTAATAATAATTAAAAATTATTCAGATTATTACAGTTGGGTTTCTCATTTGTATCAGGATACAAAGAGCAGTGATGTTAATGATAGCACTTCAGTGTTTCCAGTCTGAAACATCAAAGCTTTGTAAATGAACTACACTTAATGAAAATATTACCACAAGAAAGCCAGATTTCTCTAGAAAAAAATACTCAAATAGAGCTCATATTTACCCAAAAAACTCCTTTAGAATGCAAAAGTTTCTTCCCTACTGACATACAAAACCCTCTGGACAAAACATCTTGCTTTCTGCAGTCCTAAAAAGAAGCTCACCGTGTCCTTTACAGCCATAAAGCAATGACATATCCAGCGTCGTGTTGTGCCATCTCGACAGATATAAGAGAATGCTCTGTCAAAATTCCTATCTGGAGCACAGAAGGAAACCTTCTCTATTGTCTGATCAACTATAAGGTCCTACAGAAAAAATGATGGAGACAACAAAAGTATAAATCATCACAGGAACGGGAACACAACAGATTGCTTTAAGGGTCCCTTGTTCTTGACATCATCTTAATACCAGTTTTTGTGTTTCAATTCAAACACACATTTGTTAGCCATTTCATAGACGGAGGAGAAGAAAGTAGAAGATGCTAACAAGGATTCCATCAACTGACTGCATCCTGCCTTCGGTTCTCTAAATATAAATGCATGTAAGTGGAAGAGCCTCTTTAAAATGTATCATTTGAAATCTGTGCAAGCATATCCTCAGGATTAGCGGATATCACATGGAAGTGCAGTGGTTTGATGTAGTCTACTACAATGCTTAACCATCAAGGGAAAATATTACCACTGGCTTCACACATGAGTGGATGGATTACAGTCAAAGACTATACAGTTAACTTAGACATTTTGGAATACCAACAAGAACACATCAATATTAAATCCATGGCATTTATTAAGAAGCACCTGACTCTCAAGCATCTCTGAGATCTTTTAAAGCATTTTCAAACTATGTCAACTACATGATATTAGGTGTCTTAGAAGAGCTGTTTGTGGAAATGCCATACAAGCATACCAGATGTACAAGAATGAAACAAAGATGTAATCATCATTACCATCATAATAATCATTCCTGGAATTTATACTGGTCAATGTGTACATTCAAAGGACACCACATTCTTTGGTTATAACTAGATATAAAATGCATTTGCAAAATATGCACTTATTAATTTGGCTATGAAGTGGATGGTCGAACAAGATAACCATCCATCATTAAATGAGGTATTGAAAAGGTTGGTAGGTGGGAACTAATTCCCCTTTCCCTGTCTTACCTCTTTACACTATGCTTTATTAACTATCATCACTAACATGTCTTTACTGACGCTGGGTAAAAGGCAGAAGAAAGATGCAACTGTAATATCTGCAGTGTTTTTAACAGTCCCATTGCAGTCTAATCTTGTGTCAAATTACTCATTGCAGAGTAAAGCATTCTATAGACTTTCTCTTTTCCTTCTCATGAAGTGGCAGGTACAAAGTATGACACTACAACAGAGACGTAACCTTTGCAGGCTCATTTCTATACTCAGCTAAAAGGACACGTGCCTTTCTAGAAGCATACATCTTTGGGACAAGAATCAGTATAAAGAGGAGATATTTGAATTACAGTGGTGCCTCGCTTAACGAGTGCCTCGTTTAGCGATGAATTCGCATAACGATGTGTTTTTTTAGAAAATAATATGCACCGTATAACGATGTTTCCTATGGGCGATTTTCGCTTAGCGATGTTTGGGACCATGCTTCGCATAACGAATGCAATTTTAGGTCCCCTGCTTCACTTAACAATGTTTCTTTTTTCAATTTAAAAAGTGTCTTAGAAGGGTCAAAAACAGTTCTAAATGCTTGGATTCATTAGAGGACCCCCTAAGTCATGTGCAAATCTGATTTGGCTTTGATCTGACTTTTCGTTAATTTATGGTGAATTTTTTTTCCGGCCCATAGGAACCAATGGACCTCTCAAAATCTGACAGCTCCATGCTTTCCTATGGGGGAGAAAACAATTCACC